CAACTAGTTCCAACAATAGGTTATCGGAGGGTAAAACAATGGTTCATAAAAGGTAGATTCTCATTTCCCCTTCATTTACAGCTATTAATGTCAACAATGGAAAGATTATAATTTTTTTTTGATTTGGTTATGGTCTTCGCCACTGAGCTAGGGGTCTGGAGGCAGCACTGAATCAGATGATTGCCAGACGTTGGCCGCCATTTTTCCTAAGGGATAAAGTATATTGTACTTAGAACATTTGAACTAGTATTAGGAGACTGTGGGATTGTACATACACAAAGCCATGCACTGATTCCTCTAGTTTGTACCAAAATAATTTAATTTACAGCGTCTGCACTTTCTAGCAGAGTTGCAGTGCCAGTGCTACATCCAGTTGTTATTCTAGCTCAGTGGTCTTCTTGGTCAATTTTGACAGACTTGGAGACTTGATATTTAAATGGCTACCACACTGCAAGAAAATGCGTTTTTGTGTCGGAGATAGCTCGAACTGAAGCAGTTGCGACTGTTTAACATTTAACTTGACTTCCCCACCTGACGAAAACGGTTATGAAAGGAGTATCTTTATGATCTTTTCGGAAGTTTCGAAGTTTCGCCACCACTGCCAATAACACTATTAGTTTGGAGACTACCGGCAGCACCGTGTCCTTGGTGTACACTGTACAGGTCCACACCGCCTCCATTGTCAGTCTAGAAACGTGAGTCACGACCTATCGTTATGCAACAATTACGTATCAATACAAACTACAGAACATCGCTTAAGCCAATAATAACAGCTTTAAGGAAGGATAAGAGAAAAAGTACAGGTTGGGGACTCTGTATTTAGGAATTAAAAGAGTAAACAAACGGAGATAAGTGACAAGGAAATTCGCTATCGAAGTACAATTGACTCTCATCAATCCGACACCTTGGATTACCGGATTGGAATTATATCCTATAAACTCGGGAAATTCACTTTAAGATGTTCACTCTATTTCTATGCCTAAGTTCTTTGAACATTGGGGGTTTGAAGGACCATTTTTGGAATCGTTTTACAAAAGCGTTGTTTTATTATTCACTAGCTGGTCCGACAGACGTCGTCCTGTCCTGATGTGGTTTTATGTCAAATGCTCGTTCCATTTAAATATGAGTTCTCATAAGGTTAACATGGGAAACTCCAGAGCCACTGGGGCGGAGCCCTTTTGACGAATCTGCACCAAACTTCACACAAACCATCCTTGAATAATGCTTAATAATGCCTGAAAGTTTCATTACGATCTGTCGAGCGGTTTCAGAGTCCATAAAGGACAAGCAAACAACCAAACATACATTGGATTCTATATTAAAACAGCTACCTGCATATTATGCGTATTTTTTAACTGTTCATCTGAATATGAAAGCAAGGTGGTTGTCGAATAAATTATATCTGCTGTAACTTTATTCGTAATTATTAATTAAAACCAAATTATCACGTTTCGAACAACCAAAAAGCGATTGACTCTTCTCAGGATCAAACCGATGACCTTCTCACTACTAAGTAAGAACAATGACCTCTCAGTTACCCAGCTAAATCAATGAATAGTTGAGTACCTGGAATATAGGTGCTCGCTTAGGTAGCTTACGGTCAAGAGGTTGCTGTTTTGATCATCAGAAAAGTCTAAATTATCAGCTGTCCTTGATCAATGGGATTTTTAATTACCACAGCTGAAGAAACAGCTGATCTTTGTCAGTTACAAACTGTCGTCTCATTAATTCAACTTCATTGTTAACTCATCTTCGCTTTAAAATACGCGGGTATTTCGGCTTCGTAAAAATATTTCAACACAAATCAAAATCTAGAACTGGAAATTTATCTAACTAAGACTCATTTACACATGGAATTCCCGAATGTGTTAGACTGTCACGTACTATCAAGATTTAATTTACTTCAGAATTAACTAGGATGAAATAATTTTACTAACCTAAAAACACATGTTTCTTCTTTAGCCTATTTGTTTAAAAACCTCGTTACTCATAATTACACTTCAATCTTGTGAAAGACTATTTACTTTTTTGTAAAGAAAACCACTAGTAATTTCCTTGCATGCGCAAGTTTTGCAATTTCTGCTCCACACTACTCATCATGTTCTTAGTAGCGAACATTCATTGCTTTAGTGTCCATAGATGTATGAATCAACGTTCTGCTTACTGATTAAAGACAAATGACGAATGACTTTTTAGAGTGTTACAACGTGATCTTGTTTAGAATGGAGAGCCTTCTAATGCTTCTCCAGAACATATGCCTTGTTGTAAGCGGAGCTTCGCCAAGTGCTTAAAGTATTATGAAGCAGAACATGTGAATTACGAATTAGCAAACAGGTTTAACACTGGGTCATTACTGTACTCCGTATTTGACTAATTGACTCATGTAGAATGTTCATGGCAAAACAAAATTCGAATTAATTGCATTAAATATAGAAAATTCTATTCACCAGAGGAATTATCTTTTTCGTTTCTGATGGGTGAACCTATAGGTTATTACCTTGAGGTGGGCTCGGTATGATCAAATCAATGACTAATTGCAAAAACAGTTCGTGATTGACGGGGATTGAACCCTGTTCTCCAGGATCGAGGGCCCGCGCCCTAACCACTAAATCAGCTGTGCAATTATAATGTTTCACTGATTGCAGGAAAACGTTTTAGGTTTTCAGCAGTTTTTCCTCAAACAACTCACGTTGCAATTTGTTCGAGAATCATGCTTACTGTTGATTATCTTGGTAAAGATAATTGACTTACGTAATTCGTTGAGAAAGACAAAGAAAAAATGCAAAAAATACTGTGAGTGTTGTTGTTGAATTTTTGTTTGACAGTTTTCTCTTTAATTTTGATAGCTTCCATCGCTTTGAAATTACGTTCCCATCGAATGTAAACCATTAGGTAAAAAAACACTTCATTTTTCTTTTTACCATTCTAGGAAAATGTTTTAATGACAAGAACGCATAAAAAACAAATGAAATGTTGATATTACTTTACTGCCTTATGTTATGTCTCTGCTGATATTACTGAATTGCATTGCTGCACTGGTCTTATATCTTCTTGCAACTATAAATGGTTCTGATGGTACTGCAGCAGGGTAGTAATATTTCTACATCTGTAGTTAGTATTATATTGCTGAAAATTGGTCAAAAGAGGAGGTAGATTGTGCTTAATTGTGCAACATATTTATACAGAATAGCTGCATTGTGCTCATTTTATTTCGGAATAGCAGAAATTCTCTGAAATTGCTACAGAGCTATCTTGTGGTTATTGTGTCCAAAGATCTGTAGAATAGCTGCTGCATTGTGCCCAAATTGCTGCAGAGTATAGGCATATTCTGTGTTGTGAGAATATCTCTGCAGAGAATCTGGATTGTGCTCAATTGCTGCAGTGTGACTGCAGACTGCAGCAAGAGCAGTTCAGTGACCAGCCAACCACTTTGTCTTGGCCGCCATTCGACTTTCTCACGGCTCTCGCTAGCGTCCTTTGTTGTTTACACTTGCACTTTCAATGTTGATATCGCCTCTGTTACATTTAGTAGCCTATATTATAAAATCTATTAAAAATATGTATATGAAATACGCGTAGATATATTCTTATCTTCTAGGATAAGTGGTTTAAATGTAACCTTGGCTATCTTTACGGTAATTCTGAATTAGTCATCACCCAAAGTAGTGAATTTTAAAATATCAATTTCTCAAATTCAAACGTTTTGGTTTGAAACATAGTTTATAAACTCTCTTAATAATGACCTGCTTACCAACGCAATTATTTTGTTTATTTGCTATATTTATTGAGATTAGTCTGGTAAATGATTCCCATTATATAGAACAATCGGGTAATTTATTACTAAACAAAACTGCTGGGTCAGCAGGCATTTAAAATACAAGTATTTCAAAAACGTGCATTTTCCACAGAAACCAGTTTCAAACATCTGTTTAAGAGTTATATAATCTCGTATTTGAATCGTAATCCCGAAAATGTTAAGGTCCGAAATAGCCCTTGGTGTCTAGAGTTGTTTCCTTATTCGCAGTAAACACAGCTGGTACAATTCCGCGTTCCTACAGCTGATGTGGGAAAGTTCCGCAGTTAAAAATCTCTCAAAAAGCGGCAATTAGGCGGGATGCGCTGAGCCGCTCAAGGTGAACTGGCGGGAGAAGGCTGCTACAGCACTGCCTGTTGTATCTCATGTTGTGTCCTTGTAATCGTCAGCTGTAGGAGAATACTATATAAAATACAAGCAATTGATAATGATTATGTAAACAGTTAAAGCTGATTTAACGGGTTTTAGTGGAGTGAGATCTTCGATCCAGACAATCCATGATGATTTTTTGCTCTTGACGTTCAAAGAGTGGAACCAAGCTGTCTGCTTCGGTTAAAGGGTTCAAATTCTTCATTTACAATCATACAACACAAAATTTCGGATACAAAGAGACAATAATATATAACACTAATATATTTTAGAACCATCAACAGGTAATTGAACAGAGTATTCAGTTATAGACAAAAATTAAAAAATTAAGCAGCAACTAACAGGTCATTAATATAAGAGTATAGAACGATAAGTTGGCAGGTTTCTTATTGAAAGAGGAGTTAGGCTAGCGAAATAGTTGCGCCCCTTCCTTTTTCCATGCAAAAATGTTTATCTTCCGCGCGCCCCCAAAAACCTAAAGCCCATTCGCAAAAGAAGCCCAGAGAGGAGGAAGTTAAAGTGCTTCAGACATTGATTTCTATATTCTGTTCCTTGTGAAACTAATCTTACATGTATTAGTATAGGTGGTTGGAAACCTAACCTCATATTTTAAAGAACATATCTGCCTACAATCTATCCTCCACCTTTCCTCCAAATCTCTATCACCTCACAGCTTGTGGAAGTTATCCACTCATTTTTTTCTAAGTCTGCCTTTTGGTTCAAGCAGATTCACCAAATGCCTTGATCATTCACCCCTCCATCACTTCTTCCTTTTGCAAATTGAACAAAAAAATAACGTGGTTCGTCTTTGTTACAGGGAAGGAAACAACACGATGGACTCTCCGGACTTGGTGGTCGGAGGTGCGGTGACGGTGGACCAACGTAATGGCAAGACACACCCGCCTTTGCAGACCCAGCAGAGCACTGTGTGGACCCGACGACAGAACGCTGTCAGCGTGAGACATGCGTTCAAACACTACGGACCCAGCCACCACCCCAACCATGTGTTGAGCAACCTCAACATGACCGTGGCCAAGGGGACCATGTGAGTACAGTAGAATCTAGGTCTAGAATAAATACTTGATCTGTCACAGGCCCGCAGTTGGCATGTGACGCGCTAAGGGGACGAGAGATATTTGCGCTTCTCTCCACCCCTTCCATTCAGGGGATTTTTTCTCTCTTGCGCCCCCAATCCAAAAACCTCTTGCGTCACTTGATCCCAATGGGTTTATTTATCAAGACACGGATCTGTCAAGTGAACTGTTTGTAGCAGATGTAAACCTCTATTAACCATCATCTGTGGGATCAGGACTATAGTTAACTGAATAAACTGATAGCAAACATTCCACTATAAATTACTACAGCTTGAAAAATTTGGGCTGAAGAGACCTAGAATTTCCCCAACAGCATTGCTGACTGCAACATTATGATCATGATTCATGATCCTGTCTTCCTCCAGCGTGAGCGTTACATGGTACATGATAGTGAGAGGGAAAGGAGTGCAAGGGAGAAGCTACTAGTGCTAGACACCAGTTACTAGTCGTAGACACTAGTCGCTAGTGCTAAGTGTACAATTGAATGCTTCCTTCGTCCCTTACTTATCTGTTGATCACTTAACAGATTAGGTAATCCAAACCATTTTCAAATAGTCCAGTGATGAAAGGCTTAATCATGAAATTTGAGGCTAACACCCTTTTGTCCTGTTGATCTTTTGTCCTGGATAAAACTGTCCTTTTACAAGTTTTCATTGCATACGATAAATTTTGCATACCGTAATAGTTCAAATATTGCAATTACATTCTTAAACGTTAGAAAAACTTTAAATTCAAAACTGCACCTAGCTGCCCTTGACCTGGGTTTAATGAGCGTGAGTAATGAATCACACCCAGTAAAGAAAGCTTTCATCTCATTCATTCTCTATTGTACACAAGGCACAATAGATTTGTTTAAGTACTTGCCTTGTAGTCTGCAGATTGCCATTTGATTCTTAAACGTTTGTAACGCCATTCAAGGCTGAAAACTGGACCTAGCTGTCCTTGACCATTAGTTTAATGATCATGAAGAATCTGCTTCTCAGCTAGTAACATAGTTAACATCTTATTCATTTACCACTTCACTTATTTATCTCCACTATTTACACCCCTGGCCTGGATTGTCAACATTGTAGTTACAACCAGGAGTCAACCGTGATACACCTGAATGGTACCCTGGATTTTTGTTACTGCAATACAGCTTTTACGCCCCCCTCAAATTTATTAAATTATTTGAAAACGGGTTAAATGCTGTTTGAAGATTAAAATGCTGCTTGAAATTTTTGTGTTTTCATATATTTCTAGGAAGTCAAACTAATCAAAACAATAAGGTAAAAAAGAACTTTTTGGGAAGTTCTGGGAAAAATTTGACACTGTGTTATAGTGCAGTCAGTCCATATAGGAAGTGGTACCTGACCACGTGTGTCTGCAATGTGACGCCAATGACAAGTGACTTTGCCAAGGTCAAGGTGTCAATATTTACCCAGAATCCTCCAATCATCCCGCAGGTGTTAGTTTATGATGATTTGCACAGAGGTCAGGGCTGCGTCACAAAGAGTGCTTGACAACGTTTTTGCAGTCTCATCAAGTACTGTTGATTTTTTAGCGGAGTTAAATCTTGATCATCAAAATGACGTTTTGATGTATACTTGATTCCTAGCAGGTTAAGGGGCTTCTAAGCACTACTGTATGATACTATAGATGTACCTATTTCAACCAAAATATGAGTGATGTGAGTGGTTCTTTAGCCATGATGCTTTATTGAAAAATCCCAATGATCAAGAACAGATGGGTCAAGTACCATCAAACTGACTTACTCACTACAATACTATTGACTTAATACTGACTTTTCTCAGAACAAAAATGGCAACCTTCTCTTGGGAAAGCACCAGAATATTTATGGCTCTACTCATCCATCCAACTTAATGGTTGAATGTTTGTTTTTTAGGAGAGAAACAGTGTCTTGAATTCTGTGCCTCTGATATTCCTAGATCACTCATCCCATCTTGCGCTAGTAGAATAGATAATATTCTATCTTCAGCTATACATTATCCACAAAACTATAATGCAGTTTAGGATGTGGAAGTTGCCCTCACCTTACTTTCATATTCAGCTTGAAATACACACCCAAGTTTGTGTTGCTGCCTCAAAGGATTGATAACAAGAAGTATGCCTAATCACAAAGAAGTAAAGTACAGAGGAAACCTTCAATGGCAAGTTATGTCTAGCACTAGTCGCATATAGTGCCTATAGGGCAAATTCCTTCTCCGTCCCCTTACCCTCATGTACTACAACGCTCACGGTGAAGGAAGACCTGAGTCTTCTGCGATAGGAATTTCCTGACAATGCTCACCGCTGGGCTCCTCTTTGCTTGTCTCAAGTATATTTCCAGCACAACATACTACGGCTGAAAGCACACGATCATCCCATAAGCGAGTTGCCTCTGTACTTACTTCTCTGTTCCTAATACTTTACTTCTCATCTTTCTCCCAATATTCTTCTAACTCATGTAATGTTTCAGCTATGGACTGTTGGGAGCCAGTGGTTGTGGTAAGACAACACTACTCAGCTGCATTGTTGGCCGACGACGACTCGACACCGGTGAAATCTGGGTGTTGGGCGGCAAACCCGGCACCAAGGGCTCTGGCGTGCCGGGCAGAAGAGTAGGCTACATGCCACAGGTGAGTCAAACATTAGTGTTACCTTTGACTATTAATAGAAGTATAGGCATCCCATATCCATGTTAAATATGATGTAGCCAATTTCAAAAAGAAACTGGATGTATAGTAGTTGAATTGAGTTACCAACAGTGTCCCCTGTGTCCTGATGATTTCTATTCAACAGACCAACTTTTGAACTAAGCTAAACCCAAAAGTCAACTTAATGTCCACTATTGCATATCATTTGCGTTAGACGCCTGAGGACTCCTGCAGGGCTGTTGTAATAAATTGACCTGATGGGCCTAGGCTCAGGGGCACAAGAGGTTTTAGGTTCGTTGGGTGCGCAAGGAAGAGAAAAATTCTTTCACCCTTGGTGGGCAGGGGCGCAATTATCTTTTGGGCCCACTCATTATCTGCGGGCCTGCGCTCCTGGCCCCTGCTCCAACTCCTGGGCCCCTGAATCCAACAACAGTCTTCTCAGGAGTCAGGAATAAACTTGTTTTTATGAATGCGGTAAATAGAATGTATAGTTGATTATCAATATTCATCTAGGTTTTTGGTTCCAGGAAATCGCCCTGTACGGAGAGTTCTCAATAAAAGAAACCATGATGTACTTCGGCTGGATCTTTGGCATGGAGACACCTGAGATCAATGACAGACTACAGTTTCTGCTCAACTTCCTCGATCTGCCTAGTCAAAACAGGCTCGTCAAAAACCTCAGGTCAGATTAAGATTGCATAGTATGTTTGATTAATTGAGGCATCTGATCAGTATGTCTTAAAAATATAAATAAACTTGTCCACACACACACACACACACACACACACACACACACACACACAATTTTAAATAAACAATTTAAGATTTAAAACCTCTTCTAAGATTAACCAACAAGTTTGCGCTTACATTATTACAAATGTACCAATAATATTATGGTAAATTTCACTAATATTCCCAAAATTTACCTGTTTTGGGACAACATGATGTGTAATGCGAGGCAACTTTATGTAAATAGTATATTCCAGCACTAGAGGCTAAGGTGACTCATTTTCAAGTCTAGTTTAATGACCGAAGCGAAGCTAAATTGAGCGAGGGTTGAAAAGAAATTTTAGCCCGTGTGATGAACTAATTTTTGTCAAATAGTATCATTCTTTAAGGTTACCAAAACCAATTCACAAGACGTAAATTTTGTACATTTACCAATATAATATTTTGTCCATATGTCTATTGTCAACAAAAGCCCAGTTCAGCAGCGTGGTTCGCAAATGTCTGCTCTCGAGGCGGTGCTCCTAATCACACTGTGCAGTTGGTCGCACACTGCGTCACTAGGAAAACAGTCTCATTGGTTTCAAAGATATCGGTGGCTCCGGCAAACATGGAGCATGAAGCATGCTGCTTAATCATGTCACTAGGAATAACCGATTTAGCCAAGATCTAGCCGTTGTGGCATTATTTTCCTATTTCTTCACATATATTTTGTTGCAGTGGAGGCCAACAGCGTAGAGTGTCATTTGCTGTTGCTCTCATGCATGACCCAGAGCTGCTCATCCTGGACGAACCCACAGTCGGAGTAGACCCACTGCTGAGACAAAGGTAACAAGATCCGTCCACAACCTCTTCTCGGTCCTGAAAAATTCAAAATTATATTGGTTTGAAGGCCAAGATGTTCTTAATCATTGGGCTAATAAATGATCCTGGTAAAAGAACCAGCCGAACTCAGATAGTAACAGAACTATTATTTCATTTAACACGCATTGCTTAATCAATATTTGCTTAAAATACACTTCCTGTCATTTACTGAATGGTCTCACCACAGACAATGGAATAAACCTTAAACATTGTAATAAACATTAGAGTATTATATTGTCTGTGGTCTCACCCTTGATTTTACACGCTTTATCATTGTACATTTATTGGTACCATAAGTTTTAAACTACTACTTCTATTTGATTTCAACAAATGAAACAAAACTTGTATTTTTTTAGTATATGGAATCATCTGGTGCAAATAACCAAAGACGGAAACAAGACTGTCATCATCACAACACATTACATTGAGGAGGCGAGGCAAGCTCACACAGTAAGTATTTTGACAATCAGCTGATTAGTAACAATATCTATATAAGGATAATCCGTCATCTACAAGACCAGGACCTTGGCTGGAACAGTAAAAAAGAAGGATTATCCAAGTATCAGTATGTTCAGGATCAATTTATGCTGTTTCCGTCATTCCAGGAGATATTGAGGAGTTTGCTGCGATCACAGATAATGACTATAAAGTTTCTGTGAACATGAGAGACAATTATTATGCCCCCGCCTGTTCGGGAGGTGTACAATATTTTGCCACAATAACTGTACACAATTATAATGTATCCTTTACTGCAGGAGATGTCCTAGATTTGGCCGCAATCGCAAAGAGTTGTAGGGTGACGACGGTAACGTTTTCACGGATGACACTGATATGTTTCTGTTACTGCTAATCATATTCAGGGTTTGCCGCAATTGCGGAAAACGATGATAATGTTTCTGTGTTCTTGCGGTAGATAAACAAGATTTTTGCCACAATTGCAGAAGACGATAAACGTTTGAAACTAGAATTGATTGTTTGTTTTTCTCCAGATTGGTCTGATGCGAAGCGGTCGTCTTCTGGCTGAAGAGTCTCCACAAGTCCTGCTGTCCATGTACGGCTGCCAGAGTTTAGAAGAAGTATTCCTCAAACTGAGTCGTAAACAAGGAAATGAAGCAGCTCAGGACGTCAACCTGACCAACAACATTTCTCTTGTGAGTAAATACAATCTTAGAGTACAGTTGAACCTCGTTAGTAAGAACCTCGATAAAACGAATTCCTCGATAAGACGAATTTTTTTTAATCCCCTTGACACTTTCATATAGGTCAATGCTAAAAACACCTCTATACAACGTAGTAATTAAGTTAAAAACCTCCATAAGACGAATTTGTTTGTGACATGGGCTAGGACTGATTTACCTCTATACAACGAATATTCTTAGCACAAAACCTCTACAAGACGAACGTGACCTCTATAAGACGAATTTATCATAATCTAAACCTCCATAGTACGAAGTTTTCAAAACAAACAGAAGCTTGTCTCAACATGAAACCCCCACCCATCCGTCCTCCTTCCTCAGTCATTGTTTGGAGAAACCTTGGAGCGAGGAGAAACCTCTATAAGAAGAATAACTGCAGCATTAAACCTCGATAAAACGACCCTCTTTATTAAGAATACCTCTATAGTACGGATTTTTCCCGTACCCCTTGAAATTCGTCTTATAGAGGTTCAACTGTAATCTGAAATTCTACTATTAACATCAAAGTATTATTAAATAACATTGACATTTCCTATCTATAATTCCTACTTATTATTTGAAGGAGGTGGACAGTATTTTGATGAATTTTTTTCCAACTTGGTTTCTCGAATTTACCATATACATTGTATTTATTACTCATGAACTTCAAGTTAAAACTTAATTTTTCAATTTTGGGTATACGGGAGTTATTACATCAATAGCTCTTTCAGTTGTTCGATGTAGATAGAATATTAATTTCAGCGTTATATTTCCTTGGCATAAGCTTTTCTATCTCGCCACTCATTCTACACTCATCTCCATTCATACTTGGCTTAAAATACCTACCGTTGTACGGTTTCCATTTCAGATCAAAGTATAAGTAAGTGAGTACCTTTATAGCCTCTGTACCCACAAATCCCTCGGTAAACGTATCCCTCCAATAAAACATTAAGCCCCCTTACCCACAATCATAGTATGTTTTCAATCCAAGAACTCTATGATACATTTTCTCAATCGTTACAACTTGTAGTGCAATTAGTGATAGTTCAGATTTTTACATAGGAAAAAAACGAAAAGCCTCCGAAACCCAAAGATGAAAATTTAGATACAGTAAAAACGGAGAAGATGAACGAAAAGCAGAAAGAGGCAGAGGGTTTGAGTGATATAGCTACTGCGTTGCAGAAAGCTGTGCCCAATATAGATCAGGAGGTTAGTTGGCCTGGAGTGGGTCTGAAGCGTGAAAAGCTTTTTTCCGTTTTTCTTTTTCGCAAAAGTTTCGGGTGTACATATGTTTGTTGCCTTTATGTTTTAGCTTAGTGGTGTCTGTTTTTCAGCTTGAGTTTGCAGTGGTAAAACTTTACTTGTGGACAAAATTTTGACAAAATATATTTGGATTTTTTACATTTTGTGCCAAATGATTATTGTTTAATAAAAACGATTTTGAAACTCACTGTAGTAAAATTAAAAAGCCATTTCTGAAGAAGCTTTTGTGATGCCTCTAGCAAAACAATATATATCGTTTTTCCTACCAAAGAACTTTTGGATTGCTTTTGTTTGTTGGAATTTAGGAAAATAGCAAATTGTCTTGAAATTACTACAAAGAATTTTACCAAAGGTATACAGTACTAATTTTCTATGCAGAACATAACCAACTGTGAAGTAAAGAAACAAAAGGAGTTTACGTTCATCTTTTGTAAGTGGTAAGGTAAAAATCATGAATCTGAAGGTAATTTCATAGTGTTTTCAGGTTCTATTCTGGTTTCTTCCATACAATTCATTATTTGTGTGGGTTTTTTGTGTGTGAAGCTTGCGTTATTAGGATTCAATTTGTTTTTGTGTTTCCTTACTTGTTTTTCCAAACGTAATCGAGTCTCATTAGTGATTTTCCATTTAACAATGTTTTTCCTAAAATTCCAGGCAACTCTTCAGTGGAGTAAAAAAGACGAACCAGTTTATGTGACGGAGGAGAGTGGAGGAGTTATAGGACTCAACTTTAGCCAATCCAAGGAGGTTCTGATCACCGACAACGCCAATGGACAATATGATGTGAGTCGGAGAAAATATATGTACATTACTTACTCCTAGAGAAAATTAGGCTTCACCTCATGTCTTTATATCGTGTAAGAACTACTGACCAAACTATGTTAAACTAGTTTTTTGAGTAATTCATAAAGCAATCACAAAACTACATAGAAAATATCTTCTCTCATAGTGCTCTAGATATTTAAATTATTACAGTGTCTTTGGTATTTGAATAAATATTTTGGTATGGTAGATAACTCTTAAGGTGAGCTTATCCAAGATGACCTTAATCTCCAAAGACTCTCAATTACCTAGGAATGTGTGATCATTTGTATTTTCATTTGTTGACTTTAGGGCTTTGCCGAAGCATTCAAAGATAAAAGTGAGCTTTGGGAGATGAACATTGATTGGTCGTCACAGACACAATTAGAAAACCCACAATATTTCTATTTCAATCCCATTGCAAAGCATATGTAAAGCAACTAGTTAATAAATCATTTTGCCAACTTCTATTTATAAAATTATCTTTTCAGCTCGGCCAAGGCAGTAGTGAGGCTTTGCAATGTGAGGACTGCTCCGACTTTTGCTGCAACCTCACGACCAAAGGAAAGACCAAGGCGCTACTGCAGAAGAACTTCTTGAGAATGTGGAGAAATGTTGGGTACGTAGAGATAAAATGTTGAGAATAGTTTGCTACTTTACTGGATGAGGAATAAGTTGGTTTTGCCATTGGCTTTTGGTTAGTAGGCTAGGTACTGAAGTAGACATCCCATCTATATAAACCAGCTGTCACCATAAAAGATGCAATAGCTTGCAGTAAGTTGTCCATCAGTTTGGCTTTGTTAAAAGTCTGAATATTCAACAAAAATCTGTAACTTACATCAGCGGAATCTGTTGACAATCATTAGAACTCAAAATGAGAAAGAGAATATAACATCTCATGTATCATTTGAGTTCAGTAAGATGAAACATTGTTTTAAGTGTATACCTGTCTGCTTTTATCACTTGCCTTTCTTATTTTTGTGGGTTTCTACAACCTCCACCCCTAGTTTCCTTACATTTCTAGCTCACTCCCCAACTTAAAGTTGGAAGTGGTACACATTCCCGTGGTCTTCCCTATCTCTGAATGTTCATTTTATCTTGGAAGAGGCTTTTTACTTAACATGTTGTAATTTAATTGAGAAACATATTCTGTTCCTAGAGTGATGTTGTTCATCTTCGCACTACCTGTTATGCAAGTAATTCTCTTCTGCCTCGCTATTGGTCGAGACCCAACGGGACTGCACATCGCCATCGTCAACCACGAGATGGATTGGGAGACTAAAGACTGTCCAATCCTACCGGGCTGCAACCTAACCTACTTGAGCTGTCGATACGTCAAACACTTACGGAACGATACTATGATAAAGGTAACTTCCGGCTAAAAAAGATTCTTTTCTCTAGTTGTACTCGAATAGATGAGAAGATTTTGTAATTTTTTACAGTAAACTATTCTGTTTACAGCAAATTTAGTTACAGAAAATACCTGATGGTTGTCCGAAATTGATTGAAAACATTGATGTAAAAAAACATAAGTCACCTTCACTAAAGTAAATTATCAGTGAAGTTCCATATCAATATTCAATGTAGAAAATATATTGATGGAAATACCTCGGTGTTTAAAAACCATTGTCATTTTTGATGTTAGCCTCCGGATTACGTTGAATATATAAATTGATTTAAATATCTGCTTCTAGTAATCCAAAAGTCGCAATTTCTGTCACGCAACTAGTTTCGACTTCATACAGAAGTCATCCTCAGGCGTCCAGTGGGTGTCAAAATAATCACTTCATCAGAAGGTCGTCGATTCGCATGGTACATTCACACACAAACACGCACACGAACACGAACATAGTCACATAAAAAAGGTACATTTACAAGGATAATAATACTAATTAATGGTAACTTGAAGATGATGCGTCACGACCGGGTGAAAGTAGCATCTAGACTCCACATTCAAGTCTAGATATAAATATAGATTATAAGGGGGGGTAACCAAAATATTAGCTAAGAAAAGCTTCAATCGAGCTATAGACAACTGATATCCTGCCTCCAGGATTACTATTTCACGCCGGACTTAGCTGTTGAAGCGGTAGAAGTCGGAGATGCTTGGGGAGCCATATACTTCACGGAGAACTTCACTGACGCCCTCGTCGCCAGGATGGCTCTTGGCAAAGAGGCTGACAACGAAACGCTGGACCAGAGTGAATTGAGAGTTTGGCTAGATATGTCAAGTAAGTTTGCTGCTTAGTTATTTTTCTACCTTAACCTTATTGTTGATGAGCCAATTGTAATTAGAGTGGTCATGGTGTTCATGGATGAAACAATTTTATCATTTTATGTTATCCAACCATGTTGATACATTAGCTGTATCGTTACAATATTTATCGATTGAACTTAACACGTTCGCGGCGGGACGTCAAATGGCGGGCGTATCCCCAGTGCGGCGCAGCCCTCAGTGTCGAACAAACCTGATTGCCGCGTTTCCAATTTCGGTCTGACGAATAGCAAATAACGTGCTAGGATGTCCTGCTTTACAACGAGAGTCGACGTAGTTTGCTTAACACCCACAGATAGTAGCACTGCTTGGAACGTAGCCGGTCCCATTAGAATTGTATTGCCAAATGGAGGGAAAAAGACGGGACAAAAAGTAGATTTTTGAGATTGCCAGACGGGGATTTTACGGGGAAATTTACTACCAACCTACACCACAACAAAATACAGTATACTATTGAGCAGTGCTGTGCGAGTTTTCAAGTTTCTAGCTCTAATCCTGGCTTAAAAATAAATCATTTCGTACTGCATTGCAGCTTGGGAGCGATCGCACCCACCAGGATGGCATTAGGGTTCCGTATCGCTCCCATGCCGCCGCGAACATGTTAAAAAATTTTTTTTTCAATTAAACACATACTGGTAATACAGGCTGGCCTTTAGATTTATCAGGGCTGCTTTTGCAAATGCAGAGGTTACTTTTAACCTCTGTTTGTTGGGGGCACAAGCAAGAGAGAAAAATTCCTCCTTAATGGAGAAAGGAGGGGACGCAATTATATCTCTGGCCCAGAGCACATTACTGTATTTGCAAACCGCCGGCCTGGGATTTACTTAATATTATTCAGGTCTACAAAAGCTTCAGATAATCATCAAGCTAAATTAAAAAGTTTTTGGTACTCAATAAACATTGATTTTTGTTAAAATAACAAAAATCAACTGGTTAAATTAACTTAACTGGTTAAATTAATGTGAAAGATCCAACAATCGAGGAATAGGGTTCATAAGTTGACTGGCATGATTACGGGTTGAATCTAATATTATTTTCAGTGATCTGACATTTTTGGTGATCCAACAGCCAATTATTCCAACGGAATCAGCATTGACTGGATACTGAAATTGTATCAATAGTCAAAGCTATTAGTCTCAAATTATGTTTATAGTTGGATTACAGTATTATTAAAATGAACTGTATATATTTGTAAATATACTTGTCTAGTTTAGATTTCAGCTGTGACCATTGTGACATTTTTATTTCTCAACACTTATTATGGGTTTCAGATCAACAGATTGGCTTGATGTTGAGTAGAGATCTACAAGTAGCCTACCGAGACTTTGCGCAAGAGTTACTTTCTGACTGCGGCAACAATCCCAAACTGGCTGACATTCCGATACAGGTGTGGTAAAAACATTGTTAACAACGGTATCAGCAATCTGACACATACTTTCTCCCATTAGCTTGTCAACAAAAACAACCGTTATCATGGGTGAACGGTGGGAGTAACTATGATATTTTTGCAAAACGATTTAAAATCACAAAAAGTTGCAATAACTTTGGAACTGCAATTTTTACAGCAATGAGGGTTGTACCATTTAATTAAACATACTAGATTTATAATTTACAAAAATATAACGTTTGTTATTTCAAGTTTTCTAGCTGAATAGTGTTACGGTACGCTAACTAGTTTCATCTAACAATTAATTCAATTTTAAGGTAATATATTTTTAGAGTACTGTATTTGTTGAATGAAATATAAATTAAAACTATCATTTCAGTTCAGAGAACCAATTTACGGCAGCAATGATCCAAGCTTCACAGATTTCGTCGCACCAGGAGTTATTTTAACGTAAGTTTAATTGATTAGATACATTTTAAAAATGGAATGTGTACTACCTAGGTATTATCAATACTGTGTGAATATAAGTTTTAATTTTAGTTTCCTTTTGGTCTCTCTTTTTAGGTACATACAATTTTGGATTTATTGCTGTGAAAAAAATAGTTATAAAAACCTAGTGACATATGTAACTTCCTTTTTTGTTATTTTTCCGGAGCTGTCATTTACCAATTTGTTAACAATAATTTGAATTTTTTTAAATGCCATTGCCTTAGAGCAAACTGCCTTTAATAGAAATAGCATCAGCGGGTTTGGCAAAAGTATGAAACCTCTCTTAACTTTGATGGGTTACACCAGGAAAACTTAACTCTGCATACCCAAGATTTATCCTAAGATAAGATAATTTAGCCAACGTTTAAGAAGAGTTACGGGAATTAATCACAAATCAAAACAAGCTTTCCACTTTACAATAGGATGACAAATCTACTTGCATCTAATTTAGTTTTCAATGTGAATATACATAAATAGCTCCTCTTTTGAATGAATCTGATGTGTTTCAGAATTGTTTTCTTCTTAGCTGTTGCTTTGACGTCGTCAGCTCTGATCATTGAAAGGATGGAAGGTCTACTGGACAGAAGTTGGGTTGCAGGTAATTTTGTTACACATACTTCCTTAAAACCTTTGATCCCTTTTAAAATAGAGATTGTAATGTGATTAGCTCCTCGGGAGTTAGCTAACGTAGATTTCTTCATAAGACTTAGATCCCAGACCACTGTACTCTTTTGTTTTATGGTCCCCAGAAGCCGAAACAATTGGTCGAAATTGTTATTAATATATGGCTGATTTAATTAAACTTGTTTCAAATTTGGTAAAAACCAGCCCTAGACGCAGTCATTGTAAGAGGGGTTATTTAGGGGCATAAAATAAGTAGAAGTAGAGCTCCATTACGTTGCTTTTCAAAAGATTATTTTGATTTTCAACTTTTTTAGTTCATTGGTTCATTACATTTTTTTCCACAGGTGTGACTCCGGTTGAGATTCTGTTTTCCCACGTCATCACTCAGTTCGTTGTCATGTGTGGACAGACGGCTTTGGTCCTGATCTTCATGATAGTAGTGTTTGAAGTCGAGTGCAAAGGAGATATTTTCTTGGTCATCATTCTCACCATTCTTCAAGGACTCTGCGGAATGTGCTTTGGTAAGCTCTTCACTTAATAATGAGATTTTAACACGTTCGCTACCGAGCGACGCACATTTGCGTCGGTCCGGTCACTCCTACAGACCAAAAGGAATGATCATGACGTTGCTTACAGACCAAGTGATATTGGAATAAATAACATTGCCGACAGACCAAGAGAGAAATATCGTTTAAATGGATTAATTGACTTCATATTAACTTAAGTGAATTAGTAAGCAATAAATATTGTTTTATTTATCGTTTTGAGCAAATTTTAAAACGCCGCATATATGTGTCGTTCAGTCTATTTAATGAAATCCGGTTAAAAAGATGGGTTTTCAGGCCTAGTAGACCTATTGCGTTTCATGATCAAGCTTTTACACAAACAAATAAAGAAACTCCACTAAACACTTACTAGCCAAAACTCCAAAGGCTAGAGCGTTTACATCTGTTCTGTGATGTCGCGGAATACACAATGTAAACAAAAATGTTGCCAACTGTTGTGTGACGTCATATCCACAGACCAAGCGACGCACATTTGCAGCAGATATCCCTCTAGACCGATACGATAAAATCAGGGCTTTAAAATAGACCGTTGCTAAGAAATATGCTGCTTAGTAACATTAGAACACCGACGCAAATGTGCGTCGTTAGTCTATTTCAATGTGACCAGCTGACGCAAATATGCGTCGGTGGTCTATTGTGAGAAACGAGTCGACGCACAATTGCGTCGCTGGTCTATGCGAACGTTAAATTCCATATAATTGTGGTAGCGAACGTGTTAATCTGCAACTTTTGTGTAGTCTTCAAAGGTAAAAGACTTGAGGAACAATCAATTTACACATCACTTTAAGTTAAAATCAATCTTAATGAAGTATAAACTTCAGTGACAAGACCTTCAAAAGCAAGTCACCCTAAACAGCTTTTTGTGATTGAGGTTGTTGCAAATCTCAATGAAGTATATCTTAATAAAGAGTCTTGATAAACCATTTGCGGTTTTTTTAGAGGCACATTCTAATGTTATGTGATTTTCAGGTTTTGTGATCTCCGCAATTTGTGAGCTGGAGAGGAACGCTATCCAGCTAGCCCTCGGCAGCTTCTACCCCACTCTGCTTCTCAGCGGTGAGTTGAAACTCATTTGTACGAGTTTTTATTTATTCGAAACTCAAAATTCGACCGAGATGTAATGAAGGTTCTTCCCAGTAGTAAAGACAATCTCCAACTACACCTCTTCTTACTAGACAAATCAATTGATTTCAAAGACAAGATGTTTAGGTTGCTGTGCCTTCGACAATGTCTAAACACCTTTCAGAAAAAAAAACTTAAAAAACAGTTAAATACAGTAGTTTTATTTTTTTGCCTTGAAAACTGCTTTGTCAAAACATGCCTAAACGCAAGCCTAGGCCTAGAGTGTCTTTATAAAAAACCTGACATGAAATACCGTACTGAAACCTGAGATATTTTTCCTATGTGTACTGAGTGCAAACCTCAAGATATTTTCTCTACATCTTGTGAGGGAGAAATGTAATTACCATTATTTATTTTCTTGATCACCATGAAAAGCCAACCAGTTTCTATAATCTAGATTTTTATTCCTTTAGATGGCTGAGATAGCTTTCTGTTAAATTTACTCTCTGTTACAGTCTTCCTTCCTCCAAGTATCCTTGCAACTTTTCCGACATCCTAACTTGCAAAATAAACTTGACAAATGCCGTTTCTGTGTTGTCTTAGAATTGTCGTAATGTCTTGAACTCATGTCTCCAGGTGTGATCTGGCCAGTGGAGGGTATGCCGCTGGTACTCCAGTACATCTCTGCGTGTCTGCCGTTGACTCTCGCCACCACCTCGCTGCGGTCCATTCTCACCCGAGGATGGTACATCACCGAACCTGACGTTTGGCTCGGCTTCGTCTCCACCATCACTTGGATAGTCTTGTTCCTATCCATTTCTCTGATCGTCCTCAAGATGAAACGAGGTTAAGTGACAAACGCGACAACAACGGTGCCAAAAACGTGTTCTCGGACCGTGCTAAGCACAGCGTCCGTCAACGGTCGGTCGTTCCGCGACGTGATGGATTTTTGTTATTGAAGTGTTGTTTTTAATCTTTCATCTTATTTACCACTTAATTAAGGCATATTTTTTATTCATCATGGATATGCAATTCGTCTGGAAATCAACTTGGAAAGATCTGAAATAATGTGGTAATTTTTAAATTATTATTGTTTACTGTTGATAACTTTTTATTCTGTGAAAGTCGAAGTAAAAAATTATTATTTTTTTGCTACAGATGAATTAAGTGGCAAACTTTAAGGCTCTTACTTAGATAAATGCAAGTGAATAACTAAGTTTGGCTTGTGTTCAGTAAAACACTGGTCCCGATTTCTAAAATCCTTAAATAGTTACGAATTTATTAGTTTTTAAAGTTTCCATTAAATGGAATTCCTTAGGTTTCATTAAAATACAATTTGGCAAATTTAGCGTTGTATAATTAATATTTGTAGTATTTCCTTTAAATGATTGTTTATTTCATAAATAAATATCAACATTCTATCATTACTTGCACAATTAGCGATGTTTACTCTAAGTCGGAACAAAGATACCTCTATTTTCTTACCAGATCTGTAAATAAATAGTTTGATCGCATCGCCTTGCACTTGCAACACTTATTTCCACGTATCTTATATTTGAACTAAAAGTGTATTTAAGTGATAAAGTGCCTTTAAACACTGTACAAAACAAATTTATCTATATATTGTACGGTACATGTAAAGTTAATTATAGCTATATAGTTAGTAATAGTCATTAGTGTTAACTGCAATTTGCTCATAAAGTTATTTAATCAAAATTTGTCAGCGTTTATACACCCGAGAGTAAATTATTGTCATATTTTGTAAGATAGGCTGGGCAGTGGCAACTTAATGTAAACTTAGTGTGATTCGCTTTACTTCTTCAGTTTGTATTAGACTACAGCTTATGAAAGGTAACATATGCCTTGTCAGCAGATATGCTTTTGGTGATGTGTTTATTTACTTTTTCCAAGTGTTGAAACTATTAAATTACTCGATGGTCGGATTAAGTTAAAAACAAGATGTATTGGATTTTAAAGGTGTTTTAAGGAATAAAGTGTGCACGTTCACAAAATATTAAGTCAATGATCCGGTTGGTCACAAATTAATCATACTTTACTAATGCATTGCGATTGCCTACTGGTACGGTTAATGCTAACTTCCCAAAATTAGGTGCTTAATTGTTGTGTCTTAGATCGCCCAATAAAATTACTGAGGTCACCTCTGTTATCTATTTGACTAGTATCGAGACAGTATTTCTTTAACTTTAGAAAACCGTACAGATCTTTAGGGACAGGCAGTAGAGGTTTTTAATTTAAAACTTTCTATTTCTTTGTTTACGTGACACATATAAATTAGGCCTATTTAACAAATAATTTATTTTTGTAGACAAAAAACTTTCTAACAAAAGTAGAGAAGGAATACATGTTCAACGTAAAACACTAGCATGTTCTGTAAGTCTTAGAATTGCAAGATGAGTTACTGTACATATTTTGTTGATTTTTACTTCCGCCTCCGCTTTTACTTGTCATACAAAGCTGTTTTGAGATTTCACTAGATTCTAAGTACGAATGTAACAAAAACAAACCTAAAATATAGTTCATACGGTTAAATCTTTGTGGTTTAAAAACTCCGGAAGTCAGTTACAACTTTTTTTGTCTCTGACCACTTCTAAATCAGCTGATATCGGAGCTGTGATATCGGAGGTTGCTGGTCTTGCCTGGACGCTGCATATCTGCTGATGAAGCGTATGTTTAAGTTAAAGTCTGACGAGTGAATGTTCCTCACTATCTGTTTTTATGTTCTTATCATTGTATATGTTATATAACACCAATAAATTGTAATTTACAACCGTTTGTGTATTTTGTAGCCTGTTGTATTTTGTATGATAAGGTTTGCTAGTTTGTGTTCTTGTGCATCAAAAAATTATCTTTCATCATTAGGGCCTGAAGCAACTCTTTTCAACAAGAACTCAAGTTTGAAAAATTGTTAACACTTTTTGTTTGTTTGATGCTTGTGCCATTTTCATTGGAGATGTGAAAATAATAGTTTGAGCTAATGCTACTAATATTTGTTCCAAGTTTCAACTTATATTGCGTCACTACATTTGCGCACCCGTTGGAATTACGTGGGTCCATGTAAACATTACACGTTGAAGTGTCCGAAGGAACTTTAGTATAAGAATCAAACGTTGACTTTCTAGGCTTTAAGCACAATATTTCAATTAAATCCATCAATATAACTCCTAATCCATTACAGAAACACCTATCGTTACATATTTACGGTATACGAGAGTTTTGTTACATAATCATCAGGCAGAAAAACACCTGATAACAACTCAACTGACGTCCCTACAGTAGTAAGCTAGGTTTTTAATCTAATGCAAAATCCAAATTGGCAAGACACTACCAACTTGCGTGGTACTTCGCCCCGTCTACATGCTAATGTAAAACCAGCTTTAGTTTACAATTGACAACGATAAACAGTTTTTATCCTCAGCTAAAATCAATGATATAACTGTACCTTGAAACTTTACGTGGAAATTGAGACATCAGGACCATTAAAATGATAATTCAAACAAACATAAAAATCAAAATAAGCATGAAAATCAAACATAACATTATCTTGCTAATGGATACAAGAATTATATTAATATATTACATAAAGATAGAACCTGCATGGATTTGTAAGATCTGTAAATTTGCTAGTTCTATTTAATGCACAAAACATAAGGTTAACAATAAAAAAAATTTGGATATTAAAAGTGTAAAACAAATGATTTTGTTAAGATATAAACTCCGTTTAATAACAACAACAACAATACATAGGTAAAAATATAAAATTTGGTAGCCTATGTACAAATATAATACAGTTAAACTGTGGAATGTTTTTTTTTAATTAAGTAAATCTTTATCAAAAGGAAGGAATCCACGACATTTTGCCGTTCCGCACAAACAGCTGGTTTTACCAATACCACTCCCACCACTTGCGTAATCGTAAGTAATTTCTTCGCCCGCTTGAATATCTCTAACAGAAAACACTGCCAATCTTGAAATCGGAGAATCGATTCTCACAGGGACAATAGCAGCGTTAGGTTGGCAAGAATGTTTGATATATCGACCGATATTACCAACGCATGTAGGATCAACAATGGTTTCGGTTGTAGAATTAACGTAATGTTCTTTTTCACCACACTATGTTTTTGGCTGTATTACATACGTTAATTGGTGGCTGAAAGTTACGTTTTGCTGGCCAGCTGTCATCAAAATTTGGGGACCGAGCAGGTTTTTACAGGCCGGGGCCGCAAAATCAGCTGTCCGCTTACTTACTTAAAACATGAATGCATTTTAAATACACAATCAAAATCCATAGCATTGCAATCGAATTGTGTTATTGTCGCCGTTGCCTAACAACTATTTATTTTTATTTTTGCCGATTCCTCAAATTATTTCTTTACATAACCTTAAAGTTGTAGTTGTGTTGACTATCAGTGTGCATTATTCTAGTGGTGAATAGTGGTAATAAGGTAGTGGTAATAGTGTGGTGAAAAATAGAGTTCTTACCACGGGCCGAAAATGAGGTTTTGCCGGCTCAAGATAGTTTTTAAGTTCGAGACAAAGTCGAGAACTTAAATCGATCGAGATATACTACTAGGTACGAAATATACTATTAAAACAAATATATAGTTAATACTATCATTTCGAGACCGTCTTTTAGCCTCTTCCCTGCTGATCAATTCACCGGCGTACTCACAAACAAAACTACCGCAATCAACAAACACATCCGTTTTCAATCCAAAACCTTTCACATCTGTTTCAAACACTAACAAGTGGCGTCTAGGGCCGAATTGTACCAATCGATTGCCACAGTCCATAGGGCACTTGCAAAACTCATTGCACTCGAGAATAAATGAATTGGAAGATAATTTGTCGTTGTTGAGACGATTGTTTACATAGTTTACGGATCGACCAGAAGTTTACACACAAGGACAGTTTGCGGAACACTTGTCTACGCAGGAACACTTTTTACAAAAATACTCCTCCAATAGCTTTCCAATCGTACCTGGGCCCGGAACGTTTTTGTCTGCGTAGAAAGGTTTATGACACAGTTTATTACAGTTCTGATTCTGAAACATTACGAGTTAGAATTACATACATTAAATGGTGGAACATAAACTTGCGTGTGAAAAAGTAGTCCCAGCAACACAATAAAGTAAAATTCAAAATGTTTTATGGTGTCCAAATTTGAAAGATTTGACTGTTTTATATCGTCTTGAGTACCAAAGTACCCATAAGTTCTTAAATAGTAAAAAACCAAACCTTCCTGTTTTCTCTGGACATTATGAAACTTTGACATTTTGAATTAAACAAGTTAATATTTTCAAAATACTTGGTGTCACAAGATCATCAAGTTTGCACCAAATGTTGGATGATGATATAACATCATCTAATACCAGTCCACAGCAAAAAATGTGGCAATGTCATACTCGCCAGCCTCTTGCCATAGTACAAATAGTAAAAACAGTAATAACAAAAGTGTAAACTTGCATTGCATAGACATATGAGATAGGACCAAAGCTGTTTCAGTAGGCTGGGACTGAGGCGTTGCCACTTTTGACTCGATGCAGCCTTGTATAAGAGGCTATATTGAGTTGCAGGCCAGAGTGAGGCAGAACCAGGGGTGAACCAGTCAACCGCACTTAGTCTTATCCCTTGAGTCTATTGTGCATTCTTGGAGCAGCTCGGGCCGCCGGTGACCTGGCCAGTGAGTCATACTTCTAGCTCCACTATCTCTGAGCAATATCTCTTAATTGAGGAAAATATACAAATGATGGTATTCAAAGATGTAATTTAATCTACTGATCATTTTGATACCAAATTTGATGTGAATATTTGATTTTTTATGACCTTATAAAAAAATGCACGATATTAGATAACAACAAAAAATAACTTTAAATTTGGTATCAAACTGATCAATAGATTAAAATACATCCATTCGTACCGTCAGATTTGTATATTTTCTTCAATTCAGAAATATTGCTCAGAGATAGTGGAGCTAGAAGTATGACTCACTGGCTGCCAGAGCAGCTCTAAGAACTCACAATAGACTCAAGAGATAAGACTATTAGTGTGGTTGACTGGTTCACCCCTGGTTCTGCCTCACTCTGGCCTGCAACTCAGTGTAGGACCAATACATAGCAGTTGAAAATAAAAATTAAACTTGTGGGTATAATACGGAGGGAGGTATCTATCTATATATTTAATACGCGACATGAAACTTTGTGAACAATAAGGCTTTTTTGTTTTAAGATTTAACCCCACATATTATATACCAAAATGTTCGTTTAGGTGTGTAGATGTGCAAACTGGCTTTAGATTTTCAAAATATTTCTTTTTAAGGGCGTGGGCTGCCCTCAAAGTTCTTTCCATAAGGATAACATTGTGTTTGATTTGAATGTTATTACATTCTGAAATAGATGTAAATACATTTGTTTTCTATAAAAAATAAATCCCAGCTGTTGTGTTTGGTTTTAAAATGTAAACAGTTTGCATGTTTTTAAAAATAATTAGAAACCCGGCAAAGAAATTTAACCTATAGGACACGACGGGCGAAAAGTTTTATATTTTATTTTTTTTTAAATATCCCAAGGACTCGGCGACAAAGAAATATTGCCGGTCGGACACGGCGAGTCAATATACGGCAAGCAATGCAAAACGAAAGGAGCCCAGACGAGGAGCTGGAACAGTTAGTGTGGCACCATAGACAAATAGAATAAATATTGTATTTGTCTATGGTGGCACTGAAAAATACAATAATTCAGCAGCATTCACTTGGCGATGGCATTAAATGTCAGAAATGTGGTGCGCTACATCACAGAAAACATACTAATATACATTTTAAAGAATAACAAAGAGGACGAGGCGAAGGATTTTCATCCTGCTGCCAGAAAGGAAAAGTGAATCTACCGCCATACCGAGAAAGATATTATATCCAGAGCCTACTTAATGAAGCAAATCATTTGAGCAGAAACTACAAAAAGAACATGAGATCGTACAACTATACGCTCGCAATGGTCAGCACTCGAGCTAAAATTGAAGAACACAACGGCAGAGGGCCTTTCATGTATAAGGTGCACGACACAATTAATTTATCACTCAATTGGCACCTTACAATCATCAGAAGGGGAGTACCCCACATATGCCCAAATTTATATCTACGACGTCGAAACCGCTGTTCAAGAAAGAATGCTAAACAAAGTTAATGGCTCTTGCAGCACTGAACTATCTTATGTTATGTTGTTCATTATCTTATGTTAGATGAATTAGCGTAAGCCTTAAAAGTAATTGTGGATTTCGACGGTGTTTACCTAGTATTATATAGAATACACCCAAAACAACACCCAAATCCTCAACCGAAATCCAGCCCAGTTAATCCAAACCAACTTAATGTCAATTATCAATTAATAAGCAAAAAATCAAACTTAACATTATACTGCTAATGGATACAAGAATAATATTTATATTTTACATAAAGATAGAACCTGCATGGATTTGTAAGATCTGTAAATTTGCTAGTTCTATCTAATGCACAAAACATAAGGTTAACAATCAAAAATAATTGTGGATATTAAGTGTAAAACAAATAAGTGATTTCGTTAAGATATAAACTCTGTTTAATAACAACAACAACAATACATAGGTAAAAATATAAAATTTGGTATCCTATGTACAAATATAATACAGTTAAACTGTGGAATGTTTTTTTAATTAAGTAAATCTTTATCAAAAGGAAGGAATCCGCGACATTTTGCCGTTCCGCAAAAACAGCTGGTTTTACCAATACCACTCCCACCACTTGCGTAATCGTAAGTAATTTCTTCGCCCGCTTGAATACCTCTAACAGAAAACACTGCCAATCTTGGAATCGGAGAATCGATTCTCACAGGGACAATAGCAGCGTTAGGTTGGCAAGAATGATTGATATATCGACCGATATTACCAACGCATGTAGGATCAACAATGGTTTCGGTTGTAGAATTAGCGTAATGTTCCTTTAAAACAAATATATAGTTAATACTATCATTTCGAGACCGTCTTTTAGCCTCTTCCCTGCTGATCAATTCACCGGCGTACTCACAAACAAAACTACCACAATCAACAAACACATCCGTTTTCAATCCAAAACCTTTCACACCGGTTTTAAAAACTAACAAGTGGCGTCTAGGGCCGAATTGTACCAATCGATTGCCACAGTCCATAGGGCACTTGCAAAACTCATTGCACTCGAGAATAAATGAATTGGAAGATAGTTTTTCGTTGTTGAGACGATTGTTTACATAGTTTACGGATCGACCAGAAGTTTGCACACAAGGACAGTTTGCGGAACACTTGTCTACACAGGAACACTTTACACACAACGACTCCTCCAATAGTTCTGGATCCACACCTGGACCCGGAACATTTGTGTCTGCGTAGAAAACTGTGTTGTCCTCGTGGCTGTAGTCGTCCGTAAAAAGTGTTTCTTCGGTTTTATCCAATGATGACATGTCTTTTGACACAGTTTATTACAGTTCTGAAACATTACGAGTTAGAATTACATACATTAAATGGTGGAACATAAACTTACATGTGAAAAAGTAGTCCCAGCAACACAATGTACAAAGTAAAATTCAAAATGGTTTCCCAGTGTCTAAATTTAAAAGATTTGAGGCACCAGAGTATCCATAACTACTCAAATAGTAAAATATAGCTAAACCTTTCTGTTTTCTCTGGGCATTATAAAACTTTGACATTTTGAAGTGGTTTATATTTTCAAAATACTTAATGTCACAAGATCATTAACTGTACACCAACTGTTGTATGATAAATGATGATATAACCTCATTTACTACCAGTCCGCAGCAAAAAATGTGGCAAAGTCACACTCGCCAGCCTATTTCCATAGTAAAAACAGTAATAACAAAAGTGTAAACTTGCATTGCACAAACATATGAGATAGGACTACAGCTGTTTCGGTAGGCTGGGACTGAGGCGTTGCCACTTTTGACTCGATGCGGCCTTCTTGTATTAGAGGGGCTAGGACCAATACATAGCTGTTGAAAATAAAAATAAACTTGTGTGTATGATACGGAGGGAGGTATATTATATAGAATAAACCCAAAACAACACCCAAATACTCAACCCAAATCCAGCCCAGTTAATCCAAATCAACTTAATGTCCCTCTAACGACTAACAAGACATTATTGCTAAAAACCTTAACAACTTTTTTTGTTACATTGTGAAATAGAAGAGCCAATGGATCTGGTGTTTCAGGACTATGTGGAAAAGAAGGCAGATTGTTTTTCTTCCTTCATGAAAACTCTGGATTATTGTTAAAAAAACATTTCACCTACCTTTAATGGCTGATAAGTCTTATCACAAGAATTAAAACAAAAAAGCTATTTCAGTCTACCTGAGAAACAAAGCTTGGAAAACATCTGATTGAAACTTTTTTTTCATTTCTTGTCTAAAACATTCAACTTCCTTGTGTTTTGATTATTGTAGTGGCCTTCATTAGTGACATCGACATCATAGTTGTCTGCTGCTGTTGATTTTCTTTTAAACCATGATAGGTGTAATACTTATTGGTTTATACATATTATGTTGTAAATTACAGAGGTAAGTTTAAAATGTACATATGATAAAAATTAAAATAAATGACTTATATGAGGTTCAACCTGATTTTCAAGTCATATAAATTCCAACTAGTTTGAACAAGTTTCACAGGAGCAAAAGAGTAGGTCATTAGTATTAATTCGCTTTAATGAATAAACCATTATAAGTAAATTTCTGTTAACGCACTTAAAATAGAAGTTGTACCAAAACATGAGACATATGTTCAAATAGTTCCTAAACATTATAAAATGAATTGGGAGTTTCTCTAAACAACAATTTCCAACCAAACCATAAAAATAGTGTGCAATTATATACAGGAGTTGTTTATATACAGGAGAAAACACAAGTGTTAGTAACAAAACTAATAAAACCATACATTTTTCCTAGAACATAAAATATATTTTAAGATTAGTAACATCTACAGTAAGAAAAACTAGCTAACCTCACGGTTGTGTAGAAAATTTAAATTTATAATGAACAATTCACACCAACATTAAAGACAATCTTTTACAGGGAAAGCAATAAAAATCATTATATTTTTGGGTATGATATTAAATCAACTATAAATTTTTAGGGGGTGGGATTTTAGTGACCGCAACTGATTATACCGTATAACACGTTTTAATGTAAAAATATATATGGAATAGTTCCTAGAAAAATTTAAGAAAGTAGGACGTAGCTTATCTGTTAATTTTTTTTACAGTTAAAAATATGAAATATCATGTTCAGCTTTAATGTCATGGGTCTACTTCAAACTGTTTCAAACACCAATTTATAGAATACTGTAATACCCGAAACTAAAATTTTATTTAAGTGGAACAATGTCCAAGACTAAAATCGGGAATCTAAGAGAAGCCAACAGGGAAAACTTAAATATTGTATAAGCATGTGCCAAGTAGTTGATTCAATGTTCATAATTAAAATTCTAAAAAATGATAACAAAATCCAAAAATATAGGCGTGATACGTCATAAACCCATGAGTGTAATTCTATTTGGGGACGCTCTGACCGTCTTCGCACAATAATTTTACAATCGACCCTTGAGTGGATTATTTAGGGACCCTCTGACTGTCTTCGCACGATTATTTTACAATTGATCCTTGAGTGGATTATTTAGGGACCCTCTGACTGTCTTCGCACAATTATTTTACAATCGATCCTTGAGAGGATTATTTAGGGACCCTCTGACTGTCTTCGCACAATTATTTTACAATCGATCCTTGAGGGAATTATTTGGGGACCCTCTGACCGTCTTCGCACAGTTATTTTTCTTGTGTGGATTATTCAGGGAACCTCTGACTATCTTTGCAGAATTATTTTAAGATCGATCCTTTCGTGGATAAAAATCAATGTGTGGATATGTCTAAAGAAAAGCGTTGGCTATCGCAAATAAACCCCAGATCTAACGTCTATTAAGAAAAAATACTTAGATAAAGAATGATCTACCCTTAGAGCCTTAGAGGTATATTAGAGGTGAATGAAATGAAATGGATGAATGAGGAGTCATGAATGATTATTAGAGGGGTCATGATTTTATTTTGGGCATTATTCCACACTTAAATACTGTTTGGCTCCATCACAACATTCAAAAATTTCAACATTAACCCACAACACAGTATTACTACTGATAATTATTTGGTTCATTTTTTTCTTACAGACTGTTTTTTGCCTTAATATTATTTGTATATTAGGCATACTTATTAGACTCCTAAATTTTGTTGGGACATTCCACATTTTTTTAATTCCGTTGGTTGTGGTTCTTGGACATTATTACATTAGAGATTACTGGTGAATCAAAATAAGAAGCATAAAATAAAACTGTAAAGCACCACTAATAACACATGCAGATAGGTAAAACACAATACACAACTTATACCACTAACAATGTTCTAAAGACCCATTTTGCACAAACCCATCTAAAAACACCCACCTTCAGAAGAGAATTCGCTGCTATAAAACATTGCAAAATATAATAGTTTTATTTTCATGCACATAAACTATTGTTAATAAAAGTGGGATAGCAACAAAGTAAGATACAGTAGAACCCCATTTAACCGTGTCGAGCTTCACCAGACACCTGAATTTCTTGATTGTATTATAGTCCGCGGATTAAGGATTGATATTGAAAATGATTGTATAAAATAATGCTTATGTTAATCCAAAGACTGGTGCATTTCTCAGGCTATAATTGAACATTTGTTTCCATTTATTTTCCTAAGGTGAAGATAACAATATGTTTTAACACTCAAAAAGTAAATTAATGTGCAAAAAGAAAAAAACATACAGTACACAGTAATAAATAAGTTTATATATATTACATCGTCGATCTTAATATAGTCTCGGGCGACTAGCTTCAAAACGTTATTATATCATTTAATTATCTTTTAAGGAAAAGAGGCTTGAAAATAAAACTGTAACATTTTTAAACTAGTCGCCTGAGACTAAGTTCACGATGTAATTAAAAATGTAAATTTATGTAAGTAAACTTATTTATTATTTTCATAAATCAATCCTAGAGTCAATTATGAATAGACATAGCACACTTAAACAAAATAATCAGCTGATTTTATAAGGTAAATCCGACAGCTGTTGAGGCTACACAAAGTAATATTCCCCCCAAAATATAACCTCAAAATATAAAACATTGAATTTGAAACTCGGTCATTATTCCCTTACTATTCCAGTTAACTGGGGCTTGGCTGAAAGTCACTAAATAGACACTGACATAGCATCAAGCAATATACATAGTTTTTATTTGCACTTTCAAATATGAATAAGCTAAACAAGTTAACTGTATTCAAAACTACATAAACATATGACATGTAAACTTGAACCGGAAGAATGTATCTTGGGAAGGGTAGAAAATGAATCCTAACGATGTATTAGAGATGCTTCGTAGACTTCTACTTGATTCAAAAGTGAATTAACTTGTTTCATTATAGATCTGGCTTTCCTAAAAAGAAAATTGTTTCTGAGAAGGTGCAAAACAAAAAAGTGACAGGTGATATTCAAACAATACACATTTAACGATTTTAGAACAATAGTGATAATGTTGTTCAGTAAACACTCGTTAATTTAATTGGTGTGACTCAATTTGTTAAGTTTTACTCAAATGTAATGGTGGTGATTCTAAATGAAATTTAGCTGACAGAAGTAAAAAGATTCAGAGTTAACCTTAAAGATTATTTTAGTTTATTCCATACACCTAAAAAAGATTGTTTTCACTAATTCAAGTAAAGAAAGACGTGACAGTATACTTTAAGAGCGGACAGACACGTTGCAACTTGTACGTAAAGATTTTGTACTTTCTTGGGGTCTGTTGAGAAAACGTTGAAGATGTAGAGGTAAATTTAAACTTGGGGAAATAAAGTGAAAATTAAATTTGTTCTTATCCACTGCACTTGAAGTTAGAGAGGTATAAAACAATTATCAAATTATTGTAATTTATGTATGATTATTGTCCCAATTTATCAACGATTTAAAGATTATGTGTAAGCAACGATCGTCTCTTATGAATCTCATACAGAACAAATTGTAACCAAATTGTATTGTCTGTAATTGTAAACAAATTGTCTTAAATTGTTCTACAAAAAAATATTGTTCAGATGAAAACGTGGTAGATTTTACTTCACCAATTGAACTGGAAACTTTGAAGAGTGTTATTAAATTAAGTCAAAAAATATAGAAACCATTACATGGGGGTAAAAAATTTAACCATAGTTGAGGTATTTATATTACCAAATTTAATTTAAAATTAACACAACTCCACCACCACATTGTAGCCTTGTTCACCATCCATGCAATTCAACCATGCATGAAAATTACCGCCGTGCAAATTCGTGCAACCATGCTTTCCTTACAATGATCGTATATTTACCTAGGCACTTGATTGACAGCGTCCGACAGCGCTCTCGGTGCCAACAGTTTGTACGCTCCCCACACAAACAAGCTGACCGCACACACTTTCAATGTGTACTTGACCACTTTTCCTGTCCGGGAGGGAGGTGGAATCCTAGAAGTAAATAGTCACATTAGTGAGCCGCCGAGTCACTCGGAATGGGATTACGACATGATTTTCATCAATTCTTCAACTTTATCTACTATTTTGTGTTTTTGAATGTTTCTACGCAAACATAGTTTTTTATTATGTTTTTTTTTTTAAGAGAACGGTTGTTGACATTCGTTATTGATAGTCCTAGACAAATGGAAAATCTGGCTTCAGAGTAGTGCCCACATGGGATCAAACCCACGACCTTAACCCTGCTTCAGATACATTGGGTGGCCTTGACCATACTAACGTCATGATAGGCGGTATGTCTGCGTCCTTGATAGTACCCCACAGTTTGGTGATGCCGGGCATGTGTCCGATACCCACAATTCCCACCACTCTGGTCTGCTCCACAGCTGTAACACCATATAAACTTATATTATGTTTAAATTATTATGTTGGACAAACACAAATTCATACTATAAATATAAAAGAATGTGAAGTTGAAATTACACAACAGGATACAGAACACCTATTTTGATACAATATATCGGTAAAATAAATAAGTCTCAATTACCCGATCTTCAGATATCTGATGTTTTTATTTAAGAGGAGAAGTTAGGACTTGCAAGTTCTCCCTAACCACAATATCTAAAACATAAATAAAACTATCCACTTATAAATAAAATAAAATAAGCTAAGTACCATATTTCACTTTATTTTTGATTTATTTTTACAAACGGCAATACACCAATACAAAAAACTTAACAAAAATTGACGGCAGCAGAAAACATTATACAACTACACAAAAATCTATTATAGGTGTATTAGAATTGTTGTCGTCCACTCTTCTATGTCAATGATCAAGTCCTATATCCACGTCAGCATTAAAAGCCGCTGTTTTGAGCATGAAGAGAACATTTTAATTTTTAAATTTCAAATCAACTTTGAGGCTATTTTATCCAACTAAACCAATAAATTTACAAACTAATATTTCTGGAATTATATCGAAAGCGTGCATGGTAAAACTTATCCTAAAAACACAGAAAAACATCTACGTTTAACACTCAAACACAACATGATCTAGATTTACGGATGACAACTGTACCTGTAGGAGTCAGTCTGCGAGGCTGATGGCGAGTGGCCAGTTGCAGCGAGTACGTCAAGTACATGTCTCTTTCCTCTACAAACACTCGCCCCAGTTCCGGGAACTCTCCGGACATCTCCTTCAACATCTGGTCTAGCAGGTCCTTCTGCTTACACTTCTCCACTTCTTCCTTGCTGCAAAACACGTTTAAAAAATAATAATTCAATACTTTTCAATGAAATGGCGACCACGCAAAGTAGGTAGGATTTTTAGTGAGGATAGCTGGCTTACCTGAATGGGAAAGAGTCCAAACTGGTACAAGATACACAAAACTTTACACTATACACAACATTAGAATATTTTACTGTCGCTGACTGCATTTTTAACTAATGAAGAGAGACTTTTCTTTAGGTCCAATATGGTGACCAAGTCGGCTAGTGAGTGGTTGGGACAGTGCTACCAATAGTTAAAATAAAAACACAGTTTCAGTTGATCTTATAATAAATATATAAGATCAATATAGAATATAGTCGAGTTTGTGAAATAAAAAAATTCATTTCAGAGTGCTGAGTTGGTACGTTTATTTTAATATAGATAGGCAACACAGCACCAACAACTCACTAGCCGACTGGCCAGCATATTGGATCTAAAGAAAACTCTCTCTTCCTTAGTTGAAAATGCTGTCAGTGACAGTGAAATATTCTAATGTTGTGTGTAGGCCTACACAGTGTAAAGTTTTGTGTATCCTGTACCAGTTTGGACTCTTTCCCATCCAGGTAAGCCTGTTGTCCTTAGAAAAAAATCCTTAAAACCTAGGCCTCTATGTTACACCTTTAAATATTAATAGGATGGATGTGCCCCAAAATTTATGGACATTTCTGATTATTATATATTTTTGATATTTGGGCAGGATTAAATTTAAATGTTCTCAAATGTCCATATTCTTGTCACTATTACGAGAGAAAATAATGTAGTAATGTTGTCTCCCTGATCGCAGAAGATAATCACGATTTTTCTTTATTGTGGCCAACAATTATAATTAATGTCTCTTTTGATAGCAGATCTTCACAATTTTTCCACTATTGCAGGAACCAATGATGATGTCTCTGCCATTGTTAGAGGCAAAAGTTAGTGTACTTGATTAAAATCAGTAATTCACATCAACCCAAACAGATTTACGTTTGTCGTTTGATCAACTCAACTATCTAAAACTGGCTACCAGTACATCTTTTTCATGGGAAAGAAATGCTTAGTTATATCCATAGTCTAAGATACTACTTGAGCTTCGGACTGGTTAAAATAAATGGATTTTAAATTGGAAACCGTCCTATAGCTTTTAGTAGAGGTAAAACAAATCTCTTGAGTTAACCATTATCTATCAACAGCTCTACTAAACTCTCCTCCTGGTGCCAGCTCCGTGGCCAGCTGGGCAGACAGAAGGTATACACAATGGAACACCCAGTTTTCTTTTACTCTTGCCAGTTATCTTTTCTGCGGCAAGTACTTACGTGGTGGGATTCTTGGAGAAGGCGAGGTGCCACACTAGACGAATACTCTGCCACCAACTCAGAAATGACAGAGCCCGTTTTAAGGTCACTTGAATCGGCCGGTCTCCAAAATGAATCACACAGTTCGGCAACATTCTCACCTGAAATATCATTGGAAACTACTTAACCACAACAATTCACACAACGAAACCAAAACACAAAAGTAATTAGATTGGGTTTTATTTATTTATTCAACATCATCAGATTACATCAATTCTCTTGACAGGTGATTTGTCACAAAGTCTAATACAACAACATTAGTAACAAAATGTACTTATATGAAAAACGTTCAAAGTGTTCGATATTTGTGTGCAAGAATAGCTTGAATTGAAACAACAGATTAATGACACTTTCCCAACAAAAAAAAAAACAGTTTCTTAAAAAATATATAAAATTAGCAAAATTTGTCATATTAAACTCTATGTAAAATCAACGATTTTTCAATCGGTTAAAACTGCAACATAACCATACTATGCATTACCAGGATTAGGTCACCATATATCTGGGTTTCAGTCGAACAGTCCAACAGGTTTAACATTTGTCCTCCCGATGTGACAATTGAAAACAGAAAAAGTGGCAAAATCTGTATATTTTACCCTTAGGTTTGTCACACTTTTGTAAATTATATCAATTTCATACCATAACCAATAATAACTATTACAGGCCTAACGAAAGTGTTACTTATTCACAATAATACTTACTTTAACTGAAAAGCTTGTAAAACAAGCTTATGTTTATTAAATTGCTTAATGTGATTTAGCTTAAAAACTTTGATTTCACTGCCTGATTTTTATACCCCTTTCTCTATTTGGAACCCCGGTTCGGCCTCTAGGGTCTCTACCAAATATGGTAACCCTATGCATTACAATACCGAAAATTGTAGGATTTATATTAATATTTGAAACAACACTGAAACTGTAAACCTATGACTAGTTACCTCTGCAAGAGCTCTCCGGAACTCTCCCCCCGGAGCCATCCCCAGCTCCTTGGTCAGCTGGGCCGACAGGTTGAGAAACAACGTATACATGAGACCATGGAACACTCCGTTTTCTTTCACTGTTGCCATTATCTTTTCTGCGGAAGGAAAACAAATTTCAATATGAGTTGCATAATGAACTGCGTGCAAGAAATGCAAACAACCAGTTTGTCCCCTGTATAAAAAAACCAGCAGACTAAGCAAATGTAAAGCTTTTTATTTAGTCTAATTCAAATCGGTGTTATATTGCTTTAAAAGGTTAGTTTTTAGAGAAAAAAAAAGCACTCAGCTTTTATCAAAAAGTCGCCAGTTCGGTCCTACAAAAAGTCAGTAGCTTTTTGATGGTTCAAAACTGGACCCAGCTGTCCCTGATTATTAGCTTTAAGTAAAATGATAATGACTGATGAAACAGCTGATTTTAGTCAACAACAAAGCTACACAGATCATCTCAAAACATTCTACACTCATCCTTCACTTGTATTTGGGTTTACGTACCTAGGTGGCATCCCAATCTCATAATGATATATTACAATGTATTGCTATAAAAGTGATTGAATCAACTGTATACTAACTACATAAACAGTAAATGTCACTACTCAACCTTATAAGATTTTCATTTGACAGAGGGCTATCAAGTAACCTAGACTTTCCAATCGTCAATGAGGCTGAGACATATAAAAGTCTAAATATAAAATCGTCATACCAAATGTTATGTTTTTTGCTTCTCTCTCAATAGTCTCCTCGTCCATCTGCAGAATACTGGCACGACTCCGACACAACTCCACCATAACAATGTGGGGGCGAACATTACGTATTACCTGAAACCCAACATGAAAATGTACACAGCATGCCTGGTTTATTAGTGTCAAATAATGTTTGTTGGTCTAAATATTTGTGGTAGGCCTATTGACTGATATTTTCTCTTAGTGTACGACTTTCTTTATAGTAGATTAGATTTACAGAGTTAATAATTTATAAAAAAAACTTTTTAAAAATACCACATTTTAAAGGCACTGAAAAGTAGAAAATAATCTATAAATATGTGAAGAAAATAAATACTTGTAAGTAAAACGAAAAACGTGGGGTGCATGCAATAGATGAGTTCAATAGGTGAAGATAATTGTGAATAAGCTATTTTTAAAAAGTATTTTATTTACAAATTATTTTCTACTTTTCAGTCTTTAATGTGTAAATAATAAATATGTTAAATCCATTGTATATGGCCTGTTAAAACATTACCAAAACCTTATTATATGTAATCTGATTTGTTATCTTTACTTTGAAATGTTTGTTTTATTAGAATCTCTTGGGAGCAGAACCTTTACTTCTTAAACTCAAACTGTCAAATTTAAGTATTTACAGCTGACTTCAATAAAGAGATAATTTGACTATTTGCATTATTCCAAAATGTAAACATTGAATTTTGTAAGCCCATGGGCCACATCCCAAAGGAAATATAAAAATAAAATGATTTAATATTGTATTGTCATCCATTTGTGGGTTATGTTTCAAGTTTCAAGTCTCTAGCTCATCGGGAAGTTAGTGTAAAATCAATTGCAAAATTTGTACCGGACAAGAAAGCGAGCTAATAAAAACGAGTCCCATGGGGCGTATCCAAAAGTAAATATAAAATAAAATGATTTAATATTGTATTGTCATCCATTTGTGGGCTATGTTTCAAGTTTCAAGTCTCTAGCTCATCGGGAAGTTAGTGTAAAATCAATTGCAAAATTTGTACCGGACAAGAAAGCGAGCTAATAAAAACGAGCCCATGGGGCGTATCCCAAAGGAAATATAAAATAAAATGATTTAATGACAAGAAAGGGAGCTAATAAAAACATTTTAAAATGGAAACTACTCTCTGTAGAAATCTTACAATAAAAAACAATACAGCTACCACTGATGTCTTAATATGCCACTGTTCCTGTCCAGTTATTTTCAGACATGAGAGGGTTACAAAATCTCGTAAATTTACTGTAGCCAACTTTTTATATTTGCATTTTTTATATTTTCACTAATTAACCTTAACTAATATAGGTTCCAAATCCTTTGGATTGATGAGAGCCCTTCAATCTAAATCGGTAGTTTTAATATGAATATTCCAGGACTGTGATGACTGAAAGTGGCAATTTCTTTTCACCCCATGACAAAAGTATTTTTTCACCCTGGATCGGAAAGTTTTAATTAAAAACTGGTCAACAAAATTTTGCTCTCATCCATCAAAGTCAATTCTTAAAGTGATAAAAGAAAGTTTAAAATAGTTTTGGATCATTGTTGTGTTAAGCATCTTTCAAATCAGTTAATTTGATTTGTACTTACTTTAGAAACATCATCTTGACTCTCGATACTGAAGTGTGCCGTTCCGACCAAGTACACCTTCACCCCATCCGGAGTGGTCAGTAGAGACACCGTAGACGGTAGGTTCTCATCAAAGTTTTCTTCAATTAGAGGATCTAAACATTTGGAAAAAATACAGCCTATGGATTTAAGGTGGGTATACAAAATTAGTCAAATAAAAGCTCCAATATCCAAGGCAACATATTAATAGGAGGCCTACAAGAATTCGGAGTAGGCCCTAAGTAAGGAGTATGATTTGTAAATTTGTTAGGCCGTTGAAAAACGGGAAGACTGTTTTTCAACTGAAATCGGCAACTAGTAGGACAAACTAGTCGCCTGCGTCCCCACCAATGTAGTTAGGTGGGACAGTGCACACAGTGTGACTGCAATGCGACCAGTTGAGGACCAGTCGGCAATCAGTCGTTAAGCAACCGGACCTGCCGGTTGGAAGGTGATTTCAGTCGCCTGGTTTGCATATTTGTATTGCGCTTAAAGGATCAGGCATACCAACTGTAATAACTCTTCGTAAGTACTTTTTGACATTCTGTACATAGACTAAAATTTGGCATCTATTTCTTGTAATGCAGCAGCAGCTACAAAGAGCTTACATTGAATATTTGTTCAACATAAAGATGTCCCCAATACATTCTACGTCCTCTACGCTTTCTTGATTGTCTATAAAACACCAGGGCTTCTTCAGCACTAATACTCATTTCAAACACCATACACAGTACACAGTATCGTTATAACAAAATTAGAACACATTCACTACCGTCGCTACCGTCCGAGCTACCGTGTTCAGTATCAAGACTATGGTATTGTAGGACCATTGCCTTTCAAATACCAACCAGGCGTTGCCATAGACAAAATTAAATAGACTAATGGACATTTTACAAAACGCCTACAGCTTTATCCACATTGAAATTTGTAATTTCGAGCTTGAAATAAAGACTAACTTAGTCTAGCATTTAGTATTGAATATCTACCTGGTGCCTGATTTATAGGTTGTTTTGGAGTGATTTCAATTGAATCATCACTTTCATATTCTTCACTATCAGACCTTACGTGGCTGTTATCAAGACTAGATGCATCCATGGTGCTTGTCGGAGAAGTGGTTTTCACGGGTGAACTCATAGCCAAAACAGGGACAGTGCCTTCATCCTCTGTGCCAGTGCCCTAAAACAAAGGAAAAAATTAATTTCATACCCCGCTGCAGCAAACCTGCAGACTAAGCGATTTCCATTTGCCTGATTGGATTTTCAATAAAATGTCTCCTTAAAAATATCACATTTATTCCCTAGCTATATAAATAGCATTAGTTTAACGAGTACACAGGTTTGCTGCAACAGGAAGGTAATGAAGTGTTTTTATTGTGAAATGGTAATAGCTTAGTATAAAATAAATGCATTTTCAAAATTTGATCAAAATATGATCATAAACTGACAAACTAGGGCCTACAACAGTTTATTAATTCTCCATAAGAATACCCATGGGAATTTTAAAATTGCAATACTTAGTACCCTAATATTTTTTTTCTGGGTAACCATTTGGTACATGATAACACTTCAACATACTATATTATTTTTTTTTTTAGCTCTACAAAATTGTTTTAAAAGAAATTGCAAAAGTTTATGTTTATGAGGTCAAAAATGGGAAAATCCCATTTTCACCCCATGAAACCCCCCGTTCCCATAGTCTGATCATGCAGGTTCACAAACTCGTTCAAATAAATGTACACGTTTACATATACCAAATTTCATCAAAATCATTTTAGCTTGAATTATCAAGCTAACGAACACACATATATAGGTAAATATATATGAATTTTAATGGATGGTGTTTTTGGCCTCTAGGGACCTCAAAACAAAAAAGTAAATCGGTTCCGAGTTCAGGTCTTACCATGAGTACTACGGTAATAGCTTATTCCCTATAGGGCCTATGGAAAATTCACTAAAAGCAAACAATAGTAAAGGATAAAAATAAAAATAGCCTACCCTTGGATTTCTAAAACAGCAAGGATAAAAATAAAATATCCTACAGGAACTAAGTCTTCATGGACAGTAAAAAATCTGGATAGGTCTGTAACAACACTTAAGTTTTGTTTATGTAGCACAAATTTAAGTCTCATTTAGTCATTCATCTTTTAACTAGGCACCATATAATCTTTGAGTAAATAGCATGAACCTTAAAACGTACCAGTTCTAGACAAACAACCTGATATTTGTTCTTTTAAATGCTGAAGACAAAACAGTAGGCCCTAACTTAAATGCAAGTAAGTAAGTAATTCGCAGCGAGTCATTTTAACTACGGTAGGGTAGCCTATTTAAAGTCCGGACCAAAATAAATCCAAAGAAGAACAAGGCTCTAGTAGGCCTACCCATAGACAAATAGAATAAATATAGACAGTCAGCTGTGCTGCGGTTATCGTGCCAACGGACACATATATATAAATATATATATGAATTGGTCAGGCGTCCACCATCTGCAGCGGTGTGCGCCGTAACTACAGGGCACTCCTAGCGGAACCTTCCTTTGACAGACTATATTTATTCAATTTGTCTATGGCCTAACTTAACTATAAAGTATCTCAGGCTGAACCAATAATTTAAATTTTGTTTATAAATTGTTGACTGTGCTGTAACGAGCCACAATAGGCCTTAACGTTTTATAAACTTATAAAAAACACAGGAAACAAGGGAAATCGTTATATGTAGGCTTGCAGTGTGTAACTAAGGTAGGTGCCTACAGTTTTTTTCATGAGTGAATAACCAAAAGTATGTTTACAAACATTGAGTCACCAGGCCGGTGAGCTTTTGCTTTTGCCGTGCCGCAAATATAAATATCGTTTCGACATAGCTTGTGATTGTATCAACCACTCGATTGTTTGTTGAACAGCTGACACCAGTAAGAAAGAAATGAAAAAATCATCAAAACTATTAAGTCCATTCAAAAAGACGGCTGCACTTTAATTTACGTCCTACACTCGTTCGAATGAATATATCTATCGATATAATGTATCGATTATTTAGTTCGATATATGAAGTTTGGTTAGTTAGGTTAACCCAACCTAACTAACCGAATGATAATTGATAGGCCTATATCGATATTTTTCATTCGAATGAGTGTAGGACGTAAACTAAAGTGCAGCCAAAAAGACAGTAAAGCAAATAAAAGACTTGTGTTATTCTTCCAGATACCAAGAGTGTTCAAATTCAAATTGAGCCTGCCAGCTGTTCTGCTGTCTGCCCGCAAATGCGCACCAGCATCTTTTTGTTTGGTTTTTCACTCGCAAAACGAACTGTAGGCCTGCTTAATAAGAACAGAGCCAGTAACTTAACATCTTAACAGAAATATTGATGACCATATGGACTGACCACAAGTCTGATAAACATTTAGGCTAACTTAGTAAATGACTATGTTAGGCCTAGTCTTACTATTGTTATCATGAACATAAGTTGTTTTACTTATGAGTAGGCTAGTTATTATATGTAAAGAATTTGAACCAAAACTTGATCATCCCAATAGACAGATTTTAACACAACCTATTTAACACCCAATAGGCCTAAATCCAGTTGAGAGTTGAGACTACTCTGTTTTCAAGACATCCTACAGTAAGCCTAAGTCAAAACTAATGTGAAATTGAAAGGAAAATATCGTTATTTAATTATTCTACAAACCATCAAGTTGCCTTTTCTGATTTGAACGTTTAAAACTTTCTACAAAAACCTTTTGCAAGAACAAGTTAAAAACTATACGTTGACAATTTAAGCTAGTTTTCCATCAACATTGCCACTACAACACTTCAAAAGAAACTTTTGACACGAGGATAAAATTCTGGAAAACAAAATTAAAATCAAAATCGTTTTTGTCATGCACGCACAGATTATATAGAATATTTATCAAGTTAACGAAACGACTAATATCACGTTGACGTCGTCATTGTGAAGAAGACAAGTCAACAACTCAACCAACGAACCAACCAACAAGCCAACCACAAAAAAAAAGAAAGAATAATAAGCCACAAGTCAGAAGCAGAAGTCATATGTTTTGAAGAAGAACAACAAAAAATGACGACCAGGGGCCCATTTCATAATAAAGTACAAACTAATATTATTAGTAAATCAGCTGATCGCCCAATGCAAATCTAATGGAAATTACAAGTTACAAGTTGTAACTTGTAGCTTGTAGTTTATTATGAAATGGGCCCCAGTTGGTTTCATTGCTGCCAACCAACGTGCTTCTTTCATAGCTTTAGTAATATTATTAGATCTATCATAACATAAATTAACGTAATGTTTTAATGTGTATTGTTTAACCATACCTAAAGAGTAATAAATTGTGAAATTATGTGTAACAAAACCATATGTAAATATTTAATTTTGTTGTCATTGTGACAATCAGTATTTACTTCTCAAGGCCCACCCGAAATTTTGAAGGCCTAAAACAACCCTCATTATAGTAATCATATTTTGTGAGAACATTCCACTATCTTTACAGTATTGAGCTTTACAAAAATCAACATCAATTTTACTATCAAGTGTCATCTCATCAAATGACAAGCAAACAATATTTTCTTTGGCTGATTGATGAGAAGGATTTAGTTGCTGATTTCATAATCGCAAACACCATCCAAAAATCCCTTAAGGCTGTGGTTTCCTAGACGCGTAATAGATGCGCTGCGTGTGCGCATCTAAGACGCAGCACACTTGTCTTATGGAGTTTCGTGTAAGCGGTTTCCAAGGCTGCGTATCTAATGCGCGCGCATCTAATACGCGCGCACCAATAGCTGCGTTTTTGACCGACTGCTTTCAGAGCAGTCGAATCTGAGTTACGCTGCGTTTTAGACATGTCTTGTGCAATGGATTCGGAAGTAAATGTTGTCCAGAAGGCAAAATTCACTAACAACAACGAAGAATTGATTGAATTTGTCTCTTGTAATGACATATTATGGAAGTCCGTTGTTTATACAATTAAAATCTTTATAGAAGGCCCTATTGCATTCCATATCATTCAATATGTAGTGTTAATTTCCTCATAATGTGTAATTGTAATATTTAATTCCCTTATTAAATGTTCCCAACATTTAATTTGTCCTCACATATTTTCTTATTGTAATTTGTAAACAAACTTAATGTTTACAAATTTTCTTTTCAAGTCAGCAGAACACTAACTTCCAAATATAACAGCTCCCATAATTATTTCTAGAACCCCTGAATATCTTAGTAATAAGCCTATATTAATTAATACTAGCAGAGTGCCCGTCCTTCTTACGGGGTTGGCGTATAAGTATTAAATGCTTATTGCAGTTATACTCGTAAAATATATTTTCGTCTATTCAGTAAATCCCGAATAGGTAAATATAATAACAGTAAAAGCAAAGTTGGAGAGGGTAAATTAACATTTATTGCTTGGATTTTAAAAGGCATGTTTGCTTTAATACTACGGTTAAAACATCCGTGAGGGCCTCATACAGTTCCTATTCATGTACTTTCACTGCTTACGCTTCTTCGAAGCTTATAATACCAAAGTATCCATTTCATTATCTAAATCATCGTATAACATCGTAGTAGCCACTAGTAATCTCTCCCGTGAACTTATGTTACGCACCAACCATGTGTATTGTACGCAGTCTAGGAAACCACTCACGGCAGCTGCGTTTTGGGACCTGGATAAAAGCCGCAGCGCATCTAAACCGCTGCGCATCTATTACGCGTCTAGGAAACCACAGCCTTAATATTCAATGATAGAGCCCGGCGTCTCAGTGTTGACAAGTCCGGTAGAGGATAGTTAAGTTTGTTTTGTAAGTGGACAAACAAAAAGTACTGTATTTGTATTTATTAAACAAAACAAACAAAAGGCATGTTTATTTATTAGTAGACCTATTGGTGGGGTTAATGTTAGACTTGTTGGGCATTTGGTGAATCATTATTTTAAGGGAGAGGAAGGAAAATGCTTTTACGCACACACCTAGCCAGCCTATAGTGTGAGACTCCTGAATCTATCACAGACTACTCACTAAAAAAACCCCTACTCTGTTGGACACAGACCTGGAATTGTTTGTCACATTACTTCAAGTCAGGCCAACATGTAACCTAAGCCCTCAGGGCTCTTTGGCATTTATATCCTTTATGACCTACACGCATCCAAGGTCGAGCTTCTTGGCGCGGAGAATACCCTGGATGTAATGTGACACAAAGGCCCAATTGTCCTCACCCTCCATCATCATATGACCACCCTCCCTGTTGCAGCAAACCTATTTTAGGAGACATTTTAGTGTAAATCCAATCAGGAAAATGGAAATTTGCTTAGTCTGCAGGTTTGCTGAGGCGGGGGTATTTATTTTTCAGATTTTGTGAATCTGTATTTTATAAATTTTTGTCACAAAAGGATCACTGTAAATGGATACGTTGTACAAATTTGGTTTATTTAAACATTACATTTTGATTGTTGTTAAATTTTTGTTAATGTTTCAATAATATAGAATTTGGCTCTTAACTATCACAAAAATCTTGCCACAGGATCCACAAAACGTATTGTCCCAAGTTTAAAGCATTCTTAAGATGACCTCCAACCTCTAGAGACTTGGCTGTTATGCTTTATTTTTTAACTAGCCGTACCCACGGGCCGTTTAACTTCATAAGTATTCACATGGCTCAATCACGTCCCGGTTGAAGTTCGTTCGCAAAAGGCAATTCAATAAAAGTAGTAAATTTTATACTGAATGATCACAGAAAAAGTTTAATAACACAATTATTTAACTACAATGGATACAAACTTTTGTTTACAATACATATGGGAATTCTTTTTAGGACATCTTATGATGATTTGTACCCTTTCAACTAAAGGTCACACACAGTAAAAATAAAACAGAGGGAAATAATAATACACAGAACTAAAAATAAAAACGTAAATCTTAACTCTATAACTATACACTTGTGATAATAAGTTTCTATTGCATGAACTTGTCTTTATTCTGAGTTAATATTCTGGCTGAAGACTTGGCGTCAAGGAACAGTTCCGCAGATTCCTGGATATCTTCCTTGGAGATGGATGAGCGTCCGTTTACTTTAGCCGTCAGGTATGCAGGTGTGAGCAGTTGAACAGCATACCTGGAATCAATTATTCATGAACCATATTTTAAAGGCATTACTCGCTAACATTAGGTGCCTTTATCGAGACAAAGAACAAAGATCAGTTGTTAACACAAAATTAGTTACACAGGTATTTAGTTTTTAAAGAAATAATTCAGTGCTGAATTGGATTCTGTTTTTCGTGCTTGTACTAAAGTTTTGACTTTGATTCTCAACTGCAAGTGTGATTAAAATATTACACAGAACAATATTAAATAGTTAAATAAATGTGTGATTTTTTCATAAATAATAGGCACACTAATAGTAATAATCTCATCAAGTGTTATCTTAATATTCCTAAAAGTATAAGTCGGTTAGTCAAGATTAAGTCAGGTCAAGAACAGGAAAATTGTATTCCCATGGTTCTTGCAATATTTAATTTCAATAATTTTCTATTTTATTTTAAATTTGGAGTTATGTGATATTATTATGACTATGGGAAACGTCTGCAATGTTTTTTTCAATGTCAATTTTCTTAATGTCGCTAAAAATCGCAATCACTGGAGATGATCACTTTGCCGCAATCGCTTGATATTCTGGAAGTAACATTAAATTAAGTTACAAATTATGAGAAATTGACGATTCTTCAACACTAGTGGTACAGAAAATGTTGAGGAATTTAGAACTAGATCTGACTGTTTCCTACTCATTACACATAACAAAGCTGCATGGAAACTCAACGTTCCATGCGATTCTTACCTCAGTGTAGTTCTGGATCCAATTTCGCTCAGCCCTTGCAGCGCGTCAGTGTCAATGTTGATACCCTCCGTCTGCGCTCGTATCTTCAGTATCTGCTCAATCTCCGGCCGAGAGTAAGGCAGTGTGCGGATGATCAACAGTCTATCTAGCAGATCTAGTGGAACACCGTGCGGCGACACTATGTCTTCTGTACCTCTAAACATTGTACAATTTACATTAATTATTGTTTCGTTGAAAAATCTTGAAAAGAAATATTTATGTAGCTAAACTTGAGAACTAAGTAATTAACGGAAAAGCTTACAACTACTTTACTAAAAAAAAAACATGTTCTACGTGTCGTCCTTCGTTAATAACAACAACAACATATTCCATTCGGTCCATGATCTTACTGGCCATCTCAGAGCACTGCAGTGAGTGGTACAATTTAGTTAAGTAATTCTAAGCTTTGTTTTAGTAAACTTCCTTTTTTTTGCACCACCCCGTTCAACAATGCCATTGCTATAACTGTTACTCACCTGACGACACATCGGCCTCTGTTGGTCGCAAATATGACGATGGGAGCGATGGCACTCTCCAGGGCTCGGTGGAGGTAAGTGAACGTCTCAATGTCCAACATGTGAACCTCGTCTATAAACAACACTCCGGGCACCAACTCTGCGATGCCTTGGTCGATGTATTTGTTCACTACCTTATTGATCTCCTTCCGCAACTTATCTAGAAACGTTATAGACATTAGTCACTCTTGTGAAATTCATGAGTAATTCAGCAGTCCTACGAGTTTCCGGCAGCCCCGATTTCTCAATGTATCGATGAAGAATTTTGAAGCTTCAGTGTTAATATTAACAATATTATGTGACCTACCCTGGTGGGGTACTACAGAACTTGTCTTCTTTAATAAATACACAGCCCCACAACCTTTGCCATTTGGAGCTAGCTCCACTTTCAGTCATTGAGGTAAAGACAGGGGAAAATGTAAGACACATACGCCATACCTGATCCTAATTTTTCCTCCTTTCCCTAATAACCTGGTATTTGTTATAGAAAACACAGAAGAATATTTGCAAAACGATCAAACGTTACAAAACCAGACAGGCCTGTTGCACACGTGGTACCAGTTAACATTTCTGCAATCTGAGCAAGATTGCCAACTAGAGGAATCGTGCATTATTCATGGTGTCATCAACTGAACTTTGTACTCCTCATTTCAAAGCTGGGTTTCTAAACGCAGGAATAACCTCTAGTCAGCATCTGGTTCAGATTGCAGGAATGCCAACCGGTGCCGTATGTGCAACAGTCCTGTATGTTTTTGTATGTTAAATTGTTTTGCAAATCGTCAAACGAGTTAGTCAGCCAAGAGCTTAGTGTCTGTTGATCGGATTGTAATGCCATAACGACTGTAACAACAGTTTAAACTTTTTATTTGTTGGCTTTATCGATTAGGGTAAAACCTATTTCTTAGTTAAATTACAGCTTAAGGGCAAAAAACGTTATTAGAAAAATGCTGAACCTGTAATTTCAGTCTTCTTGGACTTCATGAGTTGCCCCATCATGCTGAGAATGTCTTGTCCGCCCTGGGGTCGAGCGTTGGCAACGTCAAGGTCGTGGAGGGTGACGTCTTGAATCACCTCCTTCTTCTTGTGAACATCACCCTTGGGCAAGGGGACATACTCTTCTGCCTGTTGAAAACATTAAATGCTCACTCTACAAATTTGTTTAGATGTTAATATTAGCTATTGTATTGATTTTTTTACTAATACATTTTTTATAGAAAAGAGTACCTGAATGGGAGAGAGTACACTACCACTATTGTAATTGACAAAATTATTGAATACCTTACTACACTAACAAAGATGCTTGTTTACAATGGCAGAATTGAAAACGAGATGAAAGTCATTTTAGGAGTTCACCACAAGGGCTAAAGTGTCTTCTAAACGTTTGCTCATTTTCCTACCTCGGCTTTGTTAAACTGGAGCTCATATAAAAAGAATCACATTACGCCCTTGTGATGCAATTTACTATTACATTGTGATTGTACACAAAGATAAGAATATTTTTCCTGACAGCATTTTTAGCAAAGGAAGGTTTGAAGGAAAGCTATTCAAACAGAAATACAGTAGATTCTCGCTCATCCGGACTAATGTGGCGGACATCCGGTCCGAATTACGAAAAATCTGGACTATCGAGAGTCGAGCAAATACAGTACTGTATAGCCGTTTTTTTTCAATTTTTTCCCAGGTCCACAGTATTGATAGACGGGCTAACACAGTTCCACCGGTAGTAATTTTTACTGCCGTGTTATCCGAGTTTTTGATTATACGAGGTAGTCTCGGACCCATTTAGCTCGGATAATCGGACTTCTACTGAACTGTGCCACTAAAATAATCACGATTGCCGATCCGGACTAGCGGGAGTCCGGAAAATGCCGATCCGGATGAGCGATAGTGTACTGTACTAATACCTGCTTAATAGCTAGGCCCTTTTAATTTAAGTTACATTCTTAATTTAAATAGCTATAGATCTTACCTCCAAATCGAACTCGGTAGCGAAGGTGTCGCTGCGGCCTTGTCTTTTCACTGCTCCACTGTTAGCCTCAATATAAATCACATCGCCGGGCTCCACCTTCTCTTTCTGAAGCGATTCATAAATACTCGGGTCTAGCTTCAGCTGTTTTGTGCCTTTGGCCGTTTTCAATCCAATTATCACATGAGAAACAGTCTTGCCATAACCTGTTTGAATAAGCATGGTTTATAAATGGTTAAACACGTGGTTAAAAAAAAAGGAAACGGGATACTCAGTCAAGCAGTAATTCTTGAATAGGCCTAAACAGGTAATCTTTAATAGATTTATTTATTAGACGGTACCGTAACCTATCTTAAGTTGAATACCTTGAGGAATGAATTAAGATTATGGCAGAAGGATGAAAAACGATCCCAACAAAGGCCTCAGTGAGAGAGAGTGAGAAGTGTTGGTAGTGTAGCGGATGATCTCTAGAAATTAAGGTGATCCTTTATATTATAAACGTATTTAGATCGAGTATGTAGGCCTACCATTAGATGGAGACTGGGCGTAACTGGGTTAGACTTTGAATTTATTACTAAGACCAGCTGTTTTTAAGCCAGGACCATTTATTAAAAGTGTGTTTACCGACTCACCAATAGGCAGACACTATAACCACTCAGCTAACTTAGTTAGAATAGTTACTATAGCTTTTTTGTACTCACAGAATAGACCTAGCTCAGTGCAAAATCGTCAAGCTACTCCATTTAAGTTAATTAGGTTTTGTTGCACAAACCATTTGGGTAACGCTCTGCAGAGAACCTACCATGTATATTATCGGATTGAATATTAGTTCAATATAAATATTGATTAAAGTTAAAAATAAGTTATTTCATTTTATATTAATATGGATTTAAAAAATTTTTCTCTATAGCAAGAATTTTTTAAGAGAATATATTTGCCTACCACTCCTTTTATTGTGAACTGCAGCGTTTATGTTACATTAGTTTTGTTTGGTTCAGTTTGTGGTAACAACAAAAAAAAGGCTACCATTTACAAAATTAACCTTTTAGGTTCTCTGTGGAACTGTACCCCAAAATACGCAGCAGACATGTTACTTACCTCCCATGGGGTTTTCAGTCTCAACCGGGGTCAGCTCTGTAACTTCTCCTTCGTAAACTTCTTTAGTTTCTTTGATCCTCAGTCCGATAGCTCGCCTAAAGTTTTCCATGAGCACTTCTGTTTTTTTAATCTCTGAGCTGTACACTTCCGATCCAACCATAAGACAAAAAGGCACCTGAAATTTGATTCGTGAAATTAGATGTAGGCCTAAACTTAGGCTCGATGTACAGTAGAGCCTCGGTCCCAACCTAAACTAACCACGGCTGTCAGAGAAAGGAAAAGGTTAGAACACTTCTAGACAAATTTTACCAATCAAAAATACTTATAATAGCCAACTTATATGTATATTTTAAATTAATAATTTGTTACTGACTAAAGTCTCTTTGTTGTTGAAGCTATTCAAAACTAAAAGCTCATTTTCTATTGATTCCACTCACTTTTTTCATTTTGTAATCATCAACATCACAATTAACGGAGAAAGAAAAGTACCGGCAAAGTAAAATCATCAATACACCCAAACTGTAAATATAAATCATCAACATCACAATTAACGGAGAAAGAAAAGTACCGGCAAAGTAAAATCATCAATACACCCAAACTGTAAATATAAATCATCAACATCACAGTTAACGGAGAAAGAAAAGTACCGGCAAAGTAAAATCATCAATACACCCAAACTGTAAATATAAAAAAGTGATAGGTACTCTTTCCACTCGGATTGTACAACAAATCCAGTTTATGTAAACAATACCCGCGCCGCAGCAAACCTGCAGACTAAGCGAATTTCCATATGTCTGATTGGATTTACACTAAAATGTCTACTTAAAAATTTAACATTTATTTCCTATTTAAATAGAATTATTTTAACAGGTACTTAGGTTTGCTGCATCAGGGAGGGTAAAACTTTTTTTTGTAAAATGTTAATAGTTAGTAAGAAATAAAAACATTTTCCAAATTAGATCAAAATATGTTCATAAACAAGCAAACTACAACAGTTTACTTATTCTCCATAAGAATAACATGGGAATTTAAAATTTACATTTTTTTGGAATTTTCTCCGTAACCATTAGGCGCATAGTAACACTTCAATATACTAAATTATTTGTTTTTTAAGCTCTACCAAATGGTTTGAAAAGATTTTGCAAAATTTTATTTTTTTTGGGTCAAAAATGGGAAAAACCTATTTTTACCCCATAAAACCCCCCGTAAACCCCCGTTCCCATAGTCCGATCATGCTGGTTCGCGAACTCGTTCGAGTTTATCCCGCCTTACACCTTCAAACCAAATTTTATCAAAATCGGACAAAAATTACTCAAGTTATCGTGCGGATGGACACATATCTATCTATATCTATATCTATACTATTATATAAAAATCTAATGGTGTCTGTATGTGTATTACTAATAGGTGCAAAAACTACTGAACCAACTGGGCTTAAATTTTACAAAAATATAGCTATCATACCAAGAACCATTATAGGACTATTCACATTTCGATACTGACCGTAGGCTTTGCCCCTTTGGCTTTAAAAGTTCTGAGGTGAACATTTTAAAAGTAAATATTGATTGGTCTCCATGGCTGCGATGATAACTCTAACAATGTTTGTTTACATTTGCTTTGACATTTAAATGTAAACAAAAAGAACTGCTAAACTGCATATTTCACAATTTCAGACAGCTGATTCAAAGAAATTAAATATAATATTTTCCATAACTAATGAGGTAGGCTTATTTTAATCTAACCTTTTATCATGGATTATTTATTCTAAAACAATGTCAATCATTATAGAAAAAAAATATTCTATAACCGTTGCTGTATCAACTCTGGCTCTGCTTTGGATTTTTCAAAGCGTCTAAGTTATGAAAATAATGTTATTGATATGTGTTTATGGAAACAGTATGGAAATTACCATGTATAGATGTTTTGTGTGAATTTGGAGGCTACTTTAAACAAATTCTAACTGCTTAACATGTGTTTGATTAACTTAACATAACTTGCACATCACATTGTTTTTTATATGTATATTTAGGTACATTAAGTTATTGTGTTTTGCTAAGCCCATGCTTAAATTAAACTAAAGAATATCATCAATAACTAAATTGTACGTTGATTTTTGTTTTCTAAAATATGTTGTATATGTGTAACTATATTTAATTATCAAATGGTAGTACAAAATACTCTTATTTTATCTTAACATAGCTTTCAGTTAACATTTACTTTATTTGATACATATATTATTTGTGTTTTGCCACACCACTGATTAAATTAAACCAAGGAAAATATGATAAAACTAAGCAGTACCATTGACTATTGGATACATAAGTTGATACAGTTGTTGTATTAATAGTCAAAGGCAGTTACACAGTGTTCTTTTGTTTCTAAAATCAATGAAATATCTGTTAGTATGTTTACTTAATGGTAAGTGTGAAAATGTAAATGCAATGGTCTATGGAAGAAGGTCTTAAAAGAACTGTTTTGTATATTAAGTTGTTTGTTGATATTTTTGTATAGTAGAATCAGAGATGCAATGCAACATATACTGTATTTGCTATTACATTTTTTAGTTCTTGATACTTTGATAACCATATTAGATTTGTCTCCTGTCTTTAATGCTAAATAATTTTGTTTACAATTTTTTATAGTAGGTACCTATAGATATCGTTTCTTTAATATTTCAAAAGACTGTATTGATAAGGAACAGCAATATTTCTAAGGTTTATAACAGCTGACTTAGTTTTGCTAATGATTTATCGTGAGTGAAGAAACTGAAGATGGAAGGATTTGTGATTTAATATAAAGAAGAGTGAAATTAAAAAATAATTTCATTTAAATTTAATAATTAGTGTTTTTGCAACTTCAAAATTGAAATTTAAAATGTCAATAATAAATTAAAAGATATGTAATTAAGGGAGATGAAGGTAAATCATGTATGTAAAAGTTGTATTTGAAGATTTGGTCAGTTTTTTCTCACATCAGCCTAGACAATATTTAAAATTAATCAAAACCAAAATGGTGGTATCCACTACTTACCAGATTTAAAAGTCATAACTTAAACGTTTCTATTAAGGCTATAAAAGTTGAATTTTGTTTCTAAAAGGGTTGGCAGATGTGTAACTATTATATGCAACAGATATAAAGATTAAAATGTTTCTATTTTGTGTCCTCTTCCCGTTGCAAAGCACGGGTACAACAGCTAGTATATATATATATATATATATATATATACATATCTATATATAGATATATAAAAATTTGAACGAATGGTGTTTTTGGCCTCTGGGGACATCAAAATGAAAAAGTAAATCGGTCCCGGGCCTAGGTCTTACCATGAGACCTACGGTAATAGCTACTTCCCTATAGGGAAATTCGCTAAAACGACAAAGAATTTATATTTTCAAAAATCAAATGTTTAAACTAAATGTAGTATAAATAAACAGATTGTCATTACTGTTAGGCTAATTAGTGTAGGTGTGTAAAAACACGATCATTCTGTACTTAGGTATGCTTATCTTTTAAATTAATTGATTTTAATATACCGTACTTTATAAGAAAACATTGCAAAATGCAGCATTAGGCTGAGGCCTACTAAGCTAAGATTTTTATATATCCCTAACTTTATTCCTACCAAGTAGGCCTAGGGCCTATATTTTTCATGTTTGGATAGTTGCCAGTTTTAACCAACCTGTTAAATTACACCATCCAACAAAACCCCCAAACTTAGGACGGTTGGTTAGGAGAGTGTACAGTGTCAAAAAGTGTTAAATAAAATGGAAAGTTGTCAAATTGGCCAATCTGTTATAACTTACCTTACCCTACCTACCATACCAAGTCAATCCCACTGTAGACCTATGTAGACCACTGTAGACCTATCTTCAAAGACCTAAAGGTTCTGACCATCTATAGCCAGTACGTATTAAATAGCATGGTGCTACTTAAAGAAAATTTGACAAAACTTGCTCGACGTGAGGACCAGCATTCCTATCAAACACGACATGGCCATCTCCTTGACCTACCTAGATGCCGACTAGCCTGGACTCAAAAGGGCTACCCCTACTACACAAGTAAGCTCTATAACACGCTTCCAATTGAAGTGCGCGAGTTGGACATTAGGGCCTTCAAGGACACCCTGAGAGACTATTTGGTGGGCAGACCTCTATACTCACTAAGTGAGCTGGACGAAGCACCACTTTTTGGCAACCCACCGCCATCTTAGTTAGTTTTTATGTAAATAGTAGTGTTTATTATATGTGACGCAATCTATTCCGACTTTGTCGGTCAACGATGCAGAATTCAAGTATTCAAGTAAGTAAGTAAGTATTCAATTAGCCTAGTCCAAGTCAGATTTAGTCAGAATTAGTTGGTCAGATCCAAGTCGATTAGTAAGTTTGTGTGATCAGTAGGCCTAAAGTTAGGTCAGTTTGAGTAAAATTGGGTTTAAAATCAAGGTGAGATCGGTATAGTAGGCTAACAGAAAAGTGCAAGAACTGCATAAACATAATAGTAAAAGTAGGCTAAATTAAAAAGCATAAAAATAACAGTAATTTACCTTACTACCAAGTTCTTGTGCGATCGCCAAAGCAATTGCCGTTTTCCCTGTGCCAGGGGGCCCTCCCATAAGGATAGCTCTTCCAGCCATTTTCTTTGACTTAATCATATCCACCACAATTCCAGCAGCCTAAAAATAACTTATTTTTGAACAAAGCATTTTAAAAATCCTTTCTAAGAAACTGGTTCAAACATGGTCAAAAGCACAGAGAAGTAATATAACTTAGAGGTAACAAGCTTTACCTTTTATCTTGGTCCTCTTCACCGTAGTCGTAGAGACTATACTAGTACCGAACAAGAAAGAGCCTGAACGGCTATTGCTTACAATAGCGGTTGTAGCACACAGACTATTCATACAACATGAGCGCTGTAGTACGTGATGTTGAAGGGGAAGAGGAGGACAGAAAAGGACAACCAATGGAATTTGCACTAGACAAGCAACTGGTGCAAGACATAACTTAAGTGTACCATTGAATGTTTCCTAACTTACTGTATCTTACTTCTCTGTGTCAAAAGTAACCTTAAACTAAGGCATTTGAAGTGAATAATTTAATTACAACAAACCAACGTATATTAAGCTAGAAGATGGAATACATTGATTGTTTTTAAGCCCGTTAAAACTAAAACAAGGCCTAGTAAGATCATTTGAGGGGTACACTTCCGTAGGCCTATCTGTTGTCAAAAATAACAAAATGAAAAATTATTCCATATATCAATTATTTCATTCGATATATCGATTGATATTTTCATTTGGTTGTTTTTGACAATAGATAACTTACGGAAGTCTACATATCCCATTTGAGTATAAGTTATACTTAGTTACCATATCAGTGTTAAGATTGTTATAACTTATAACTTAACCTATTCAGCGGTAGCTACAGTAACCTGGAAGTCCAATTTTTTTAGAGAAAGCCAAAACTGTGATTCCAATGCTCACAATGTCCAACCAACGCCAACGCCTTATCTTAATCCAAACCAGCAAATTAAGTTTAAGTTAACTTAATTGCATAGGCCTAGGCATTTTAAGACAGGTAGGCCTAGTTAAGTTAAGGAGTTAGTTAGGATCAAAATTCTTTTGAGGTTTGTGGGTGAGGCAAATCTTATTTGCCTAGGCCTACGCCTAGTAAAGACTAGATTTAACCAAAGATCCATAGGCTGGCCTCTAAAAAACAAGTCATAAACCCCGATTTTAAAGGAACATTTTTCGATCGGGCTAACTAGTTTATTGCTTCAGATGATAAACATAGTAAAACAAACTCAAATATAATAGAATACCGGTAGGTTAGGCATACCTCTCTGGCACTTTCTTGGCCGACCAATCCAGAAGCCATTTGAATTGCAATTCCATTTTCATCGAGACCTAGACCTTTAATATGGCTGTGAGATGATATACGCTGAGTTTTGACCGTGCTTTTAACCTCTTCTATCTTCATCTTTTATTTTTTAATATCCTGAGAGATTAATTAAAGACAATAACACAAACGTAAAGACCGCGGTAACAAACTAACCTCAATACAAAAACAAACGTGTTAAAGTAACTATGGTTACAATATCAATGTTGCCAACCAAAGTACAGTCAGAACAAGTCAAACACATTTTTAACATACTTGTGTAGCATGTATTTTCACAATTCCGCATTTTTGTAGGAATGGCTTTGAGGAGGTCGTCAATAATAGTTTAAATGTATCTTCCGTCGAAAGTGTTCTACAATGAAGTAAGGACATCGTTATCAACACTTAAATGCAACAAGACTTTTCATCGTATTGTATAATTTGAAGCATTAATTATATAATGCGCGTGTGGTTGGTGTTGGTCCGTGCCGTGGTCACGTTGATGGCGTTTTTTATCTATATATATAAAAGGCAAAGCCCTCACTGACTCACTCACTCACTCACTCATCACTAATTCTCCCACTTCCCATTTACCTAGGAGGCTGAAATTTGGTACACTGATTCTTTAGGCATTAAATAGGAAAACTAAGTGGTTTTTATTCTGATCGGGCTCTCGGGCCCCGCCCCAGTGGCTCTGGAGTTTCCTTATGTTCCTCATGTTAACCTTATGAGTACTCATATTTAAATGGAATTAATGTATCTTAACAGCTGTTTCAATTAAACAAGTTGGTTCTGTTCTATGATGTGCAATAGCATTAAAGTTACAAGGATTACCAACAGGGTTCAGCACTATTATTATTTTTTAAATTTATGACAACAGCTAATTTGCAACCAAAAGGTGAGTGAGCGTAGCGAACGAACTTCAACCCGGAGGCGAGTTAGCGTAGCGAACGAGCTAACCTGAAGGCAAGTGAGCGCAGCGAACGAGCTCCAACCTAAAGGTGAGTGAGCGTAGCGAACAAACTTCAACCAGGACGTGATTGAGCCATGCGAACGAGCTCACTTATGAAGTAAAACGGGGCAAAGCCCGCGGGTACAGCTAGTAAAAGTATAAATGCATGACTAATATGATATTTCCATCTCTAGGATAACATACTACGAAGCCATGGTGGTTATGTGGGTTTGCAGTTTGCACATCGTTTTCGTCAACATTTTTACTTTCTCCCCTATACCGTATGGAGAAAGTATTGTTTTTGTCAAAAGTTTTAAGTTTGAGTTTTGTGTGGATACCTCCCTGGACTCAAAAAAGCTGTTTTTGAAGTGATGTCTCACTCTGTGTGTTTATATACAGGGTGTTTTTTTTAAAAACTTGCATCTTTATTTATGTAAAAACCGCAATAGATAGAAATATGCAGTTTGCGGGAATCATCTATTGACGTAGGGGGCCCAATTGTTTTGAATTCAACGTTACATTCACATTCCCCCCCTGCCCTCAACTTATTTTTTTTAAATAGCAAGGTACCCCTTGTGACATATCAAATGAAAGAGCATGAAAAAAGAAAATTTTTGGTGAAAAAAAATTAAAAATCGGTTCATAAATTTGCGAGATATTTCCCCCCCCTTCCCCGGAACTTGATTTTTTTTAAATAGCAAAGTGCCCCTAGTTACACATCAAATGAAAGAGCATGAAAAAATAAAATTTTTGGTGAAATTTATTTTTCATTTGATATGTCACAAGGGCGGGTACCTTGCTATTAAAAAACAAGTTATGGGTAGGGGGAAAAGGGGGGGATTATCTCACAAATTCATGAGCCAATTTCAAATTTTTTTCACCAAAAATGTTCTTTTTTCATGCTCTTTCATTTGATATGTCACAAGGGGTACCTTGCTTTAAAAAAAAATTAAGTTCCGGGGGGGGAGGGGGGGGAATATGTCACAAATTTATGAACCGATTTTCAATTTTTTTTCATCAAACGTTTTCTTTTTTCATGCTCTTTTATTTGATATGTCACAAGGGGTACCTTGCTATTTAAAAAAATTAAGTTGTGGGCAGGGGGGGAAAGTAAATGTAACGTTGAATTTAAAAAAAAACTGTGCCCCCTACGTCAATAGATGATTCCCGCCAACTGCATATTTCTATCTATTGCGGTTTTTACATAAATAAAGATGCAAGTTTAAAAAAACACCCTGTATATGTGTGGATGTTTACTGAGCTACAGACTATATGGTCCGATTTTGATCAAATTTGAAATTTGGCATCCTTGATGTATAGGTACTAATTCCATATCCAGGTGTGATTTTCATTTTTTTAAATGTGATTTTCCCACAAAATAACGGGAAAATGGGATTTTCTCGACAATGGCCCGAATGATTTTGATACAAATTTAGTATGCTGTAGCCCTCTAAATTCTGAACAAAATTATATTACTCCCATTTGTGTAAAAATTACGGTTCAAAAGGTATTGTAAACCATGTTATTTTCCCATGAAAAAATAACATAAAATAAGAGAAAACTTAAAAAACCCCGGTTTTGATTGATATTAGTATATATGATGTCCCTTACAATACTTAACAACATAGTGCAACCCCCCCCCCCCCCCCATTACTGTAAAAATTACGGTTCAAAGGCTATTTTTAACTTATGTTATTTTCCCATAAAAATGAAAATTAGTATTTTTGAAAAAAAAAACTATTCTTATTGAAAATCATCAGTTATTGTGCTTATAATTCTAAACAAAAACAAAATAGTGCCTGTAATTACGGTTCAATTTTTATCATTTTTTAAAAATTTTGATTCTTAATGGGGATTTCCCATAAAATAACAAAAAAATCAATTGTCTCGAAAATGGCCCCGAGCGATTTTTATAAAACATGTTAGTCTTTTACATTCTGAACAAAATGGTTCAAATTCCATTCCTGTAAAAATTACAGATTAATAGTTACATAATTGAGGTTTGAAAACTATTCCACATTGTAAGAAAAACGTACTGTTATTTCTTTTCATGCAATAAAATAGAAATCTATGGTAGCATCGAAAGTATTATCTCAAAGAAAAGTAATCAAACCAACTAACTAAAACAAAACTAACGGGATTATATCCAATATCCTAATTATTGTGGTAAAAAAAAAACAACCCTTGATTGTTGTTGGAGGTTCCTGTACTTTGGAGAGGGTTTATGAGAAAATTGATATTTTTCAGGGAAGTTTCAGAAGACCTTTCATTCTTGCATACCGTTGATCGTGTGCTAGTATTGCTTTCTCAAAAGTTCCTCCTTAGCTTTATATACTTATCTTGAACAGATCTTATCTTGATGACACGACTAATCAGTGCAGTTCATTCTTTTACCTTTTACCACAACTAACTCCTTGCAATGCTTGATATAGCTGCACTGAACAAAAAACATTGGATTTTAAGCAAGACTTAATTACTAATGAGTTTCAACTCCTCGGGGGACTGCTTCACAGTAAATGGTCTATCTATGAATGTGTCAAAGACACAACTAATTCACTTTTCAGTTGCTAATGAGAATAGACATTGTTGTAAATTCGAACCAAACATCAATATATTCTCAGAACTCAGTCAATTACCTGGGAATTGATGTAGATTGGCAACTTAATCGGCAAACAAATCATTAAGAAAGAGACTCAGATCAGCTATACTTGTTCTTCGGATAATTCGACATAGGTACTACAAATTTACACACAATTAGCAGTATACCATGCTTATTTTTCTTCCATTATGAATTACGGATTAACGGTATGGGGTTCTTCTAGTGATGCCGAACAAATTTTTATCCTCCAAAAAAGAGCAGTTAGTCTTAGCGAAAGTGTCTCGAATTACTCACAGTAAAGAGTTTTTCATTCAGTTTAAAATTCTTACTTTGTATAGTTCTTATATCTTTAAACTGGCTTTAATGGGTAAAAGTGATTTTGACACATTCATGGAAGATCAACATGCACATCCTCACAACACTAGATTTAAAAACAATATAAAACCAGTTCAACACAGACTTAAAGTATTCCATTTATCTCCTCGATTATTGGAAAATAAATAAATAAATAGCTCCACATTCACGCCCGGAAACCATGTGGACAGGCAAATACAAGGTTAAAAGAAGTTACCACTCTCTTTTCTTACAAATACAGTTAAGAATTCACTACAGGTAAAAAATTCAAGCTTCTGAGAAAAAAACATTTATTTGTCACACTTTTATTGGATTTTAATAGACTGAAGTTTACGATTGAGTTCGTCAAACTTGTGTATTTTGCGGATGAAGAAGTCTCCGTATGGAGGCGCCACTTTTGTGTCTGCGATGTGGATCATGTCGTTGTCGATGTAGAAATCCAGCTCGGAGCCGGACTGGAACGTTCCCTCCAGACCTGAAGTACCTTTGGTCCAAACGATATTCTTCATCTTGTGTTTGAAACACATCAGGTGTATACGAAGTGCTTGAACATTCTTGTCAATGTCTGCGGTCTGCCCGTCCATGAAGGATGCTAGCTTAGACAGTGGCAGAGTCGTGTAAAGCTTCAAGTAGCTGAAAATTATGTCCGAATTAGTAATTTCAGCAACAACAAAAATCATGTGAATCTTTCTTTCACAACATGCATACAATACAACAAATCGATCACGATTTCACACCTTATGATTCAGTTATAAAATATGATAGCTTTTAGTTTTAAGATTGCACTTGGGGTAGCAGACCTACCAAATTACAAAAGAACCCACTATGGCACAAGAAACACACAAAAATTGTCTATACCCAAAATTAGAATATATCACTGTCACTGGCAAGATTATAACCAGTATTTTTATTTTTTAACCAAGAAAGGTTTGATTAGAAAACATAATACCGATAGATATAATGAAATCAATCACTAAATTTTCCATGGTGTTCAAAGGGTTAGGTAAAATTGAGAGTGTAGCTAAATATGTACACATTAGGATTTTTGAGAGGATAGCAGGCTTACCTGAATGGGAAAGAGATGGACATCTAAAAAACTCTCTCTTCCTTAGTTGAAAATGCTGTCAGTGACAGTGAAATATTCTAATGTTTTGTGTATATAGTGTAAAGTTTTGTTTTGTGTTTCCTGTGCCAGTTTGGACTCTTTCCCATTCAGGTAAGCCTGCTATCCTCTCAAAAAAATCCTAAAAAATCTAGGCCCTTGTGCTCTATGCTAC